CTCCTTGTGCGTTGACATCGGCACCCTTGTCGAGTAGTATTTGCACTACCTTCTCGTAGCCACCCAGTGACGCCGCCTGTAGTGCGTTGCCATCGGCGCCTCCTTGTGCGTTGACATCGGCACCCTTGTCGAGTAGTATTTGTACTATCTTCTCGTGGCCATCTTGTGACGCCGCCTGTAGTGCGTTGCCATATAAGCCTCCTTGTGCGTTGACATCGACACCCTTGTCGAGTAATATTTGCACCATCTTCTCGTGGCCACCTTGTGACGCCGCCTGTAGTGCGTTGCCATAGTCGCCTCCTTGTGCGTTGACATCGACACCCTTATCGAGTAGTATTTGCACCACCTTCTCGTGGCCACCTTGTGACGCCGCCTGTAGTGCGTTACCATATAAGCCTCCTTGTGCGTTAACATCGGCACCCTTATCGAGTAGTATTTGTACTATCTTCTCGTGGCCATATTGTGACGCCGCCTGTAGTGCGTTGCCATAGAAGTCTCCTTGTGCGTTGACATCGGCACCCTTGTCGAGTAGTATTTGCACTACCTTCTCGTAGCCACCCAGTGACGCCGCCCGTAGTGCGTTGTCACCGTCGCCTCCTTGTGCGTTGACATCGGCACCCTTGTCGAGTAGTATTTGCACCACCTTCTCGTGGCCATATTGTGACGCCGCCTGTAGTGCGTTGTCATAGTCGCCTCCTTGTGCGTTGACATCGGCACCCTTGTCGAGTAGTATTTGCACCACCTTCTCGTGGCCACCTTGTGACGCCGCCTGTAGTGCGTTGCTATACCGGCCTCCTTGTGCGTTGACATCGGCTGCTGACATAGATAGAATAAACATCAACACTTCGTCTAGGCCAAGAAGAGAAGCATAGTATGTTGCCGAAGGATAATCTTTGGCGACTGTGGAGTAATCCACGTTAGTTGACCAAGTTCTATCTGGATCGCGTAGCCGAAGCCAACGTTCTTTCGTACAGCGCGTCATCAACAGATTGCGAACCATCTCTGACAACTGTCGGGCACATTGGCCGCCAGCTTGGCGATAATGGTGGTGCCAATGCTCCGCAGCATATTTTGCAAAGGTATATTGTCTCACGAGATCGGGACTCAAAACCCGTTGCAGGAATTCATCGTGTTGGAGATACAGTAGACAAGTTTTACTGATCCGCCCATGCTGTGATGGACCTGACAAAGCGAAGTCGGCCGCTTGACCCTTTCGGATGCGATCAGACAGTAGGTACTCCTGGACCGAGAAATGTTCAATGCGGAGTACCTGAACACTGTCTGTACGGAGAGTGATCTCAATGAGACCAGGACAAATTCGGAGGATGTCTTCTGCACCGCCAATAAATTTACTCCTAGGGTCATAACACTGAAGGTCGTCAATATCAACTGCGAGAGCTTCGACGACCTCTTCGACTGATAACGGTCGTGATGCAAAGCATAGCAACGATAGGATCTGCTGCGCCTCTTCTCGTGACTCGATACTGCATAGTATTCGTTCGTATGTCTCATCAAGAGATTGTGGCAGTTTACGAAGACATTTCTCGAGATGTTTTTCACTCTGAGCACACTGCCGTAGCGGCCGAAGCTGGCATTCGACCCAACGAAATCTATATATCGATTAGCTCTCATTAGGGGTAATAAACCGTTAACAGTGAATCACTGACACTCCACCCGCATGCTTGGTCAGATAGCTCTTAATCTTCTCTCGATGGTCGCCCCAGCGCTGAAGCTGAGGGTCATAGTCGATTTGAAATGCCACATACTTCGAGATATCTTGCTGAATGCTGTCGTTCTTTAACGAGATATGCTCGACGCCCTGCTGAAGTGTCGGAAATTTCAGATGGTTTCGAATGTCAGGAACATCTCGACTAGTGACTAACAAGTGCAAGCGGGGCAGCTGCCATCGTCGTAGGGTATTGATTACCGATAGAACTTCAGTTCGTGAGATCTCTTCAGGGCTCTCGTCCAACGCATCGAGCAAAATGTAGATGTGGCGGCACTGAGCGGCTTCTTGCAGATATTTAAGTAAGACATTAACCGGCGGAGTACCATGATTATATAAATCTTTTAGGCGGGTCATGCTTAATTCCAGACCGGGAACCTGCCCACAGAGCTGGAGTAGCAATGCTCGCAGCATCGCGGAGGCATCTTGTTTTGACTCGTCTCTAAAGTCGAAGAAGAAGAAGGCGACCGCACTGTCGGCGGACGATTGTCGGCGGCGAAAGGCGTGCTGGATCGCCGTCGAGCACAGCACGGACTTTCCACAGCCAGCGAAGCCATACAGCCACAAAAACGAATTGTCCTGCTGTAGCCATGTGGTATAGGCTGGACCTTGGACCAACCACTGCCCAGTGCTCGCGTGTCGTTTGGCAACGGCGACATTGAAGTTGACTGTTGCGTCAGGTGCCCTCAGCCACTGCCGCAGATCGGCACTGACACTTCGTGCCTGTATGTCCTTGACGATAGCGTTGACCTCCTCGATGTCGCCTTGTGTATTCTGATGCTCTTTCAGCTGAAGCGCCTGTAGCGCGATCGACAAGTTGCCGCGAAACTCGCTCACATCGTCGCCGAGGTCTTCTAATGTGCTCCTCTTAAATGGATACGCCGCCCGTCGCCCAACGGACACTACCTTCTTTCTCCAGTCGTTATTGGGCTCATTTTTGAATTTGTCGACTTCACCCTGTAACCCTTTTATAGCCTCTTCACTACGAGTGATGGACATTTCAATACATTGTAGGATTGACTGCTCGTTGGGCCGCCAGGTGCGGGTGCGCACAATCTCGTCGACAATTTGGACGGATTCGAGAAGACTACCGAGTTGGTCTGCAATTTTGGCGAGATCCTGATGTTGATCTCGGCACGCGGTGTAGTACTTGTAAAGGTACTCCGTACTCCGTAAGCCGAGAGACAGGAGGCCAGCCACGCTAGCGGCAACGGATAGTGGGTCGCCCATGACGTTGTCCTTGAAATCTGCTCGTTGGCTGCGAGGTGTGACGTTGTTGCAAGAAGTTAACAAGACCTGGTAAGTTACAATGCGTAAGCCTGGGAAAGGTTGAACTCAGCATCTTTACTGCCAGCCTTACGGGTTAAACAGTTTGACCGCATTTGTCCACGTCGCGCAAGAGGGCGCAGTTACCGGTGTAAATTTGTTCCGTTCCGAGAATGCTCAGCTTGCAACCGTGGGTGTACCTTGGTACGTCTACCCGGGGCGTCGTTCCATTACAGTAAATATCGAGCTTCTATAAAAGCCACTGTCGATCTCCAACGATGAATTTAACCACCACGACCGGTGACGTTCGATTTTCCTCAAGAAGAGCGACTAACCTGCCCTCATCGAGCGACCCTCCCCCCTCTACACTCCCGAGCAGTTCGACTGAAACGTTTGCAAGGCGGAAGAAAGCCATCAACCAACAGTACCTCACACCACAAGAAGAGAAGGCGCTAGTCGCCTATGTTTTAAGATGTGCAGACAATGGTTTTCCCCCGCCGGTCAAAACATTGCGAAGATTGGCACTAGTTATCAGGCAGCATCGTGACAACACATACTCGACATAGACAAGCGATAGAGTGCAGCCTCCCGCAAGAACTATCCCCAGGCACTTTACTCACGTCCAGAACTGCGGGCCCGAAGACTTAAAGGCATTGACTGGATGAGAGCTAACGAGAATATAAATGACAAGGTCAAACACTGGTTCGACGTCATTGGCAAAGAGCTGGCTAACCCAGATATCACTCCCGAGAATGTTTACAACAAGGATAAGACAGGCGTACTCCTCGGTCACGCCGCGACTGTCAAAATGTCAGTGCACAGCAAGGACACGCGCCGCCATCAAAGCACCGGAGTGAAACGGGTTCTCGTCACTTCTATAGAATGCGTGTCTGCGATAAGTTCTGCCCTCCCGCCCCTGATTATCTAGCCTGCATCGACCCACCGTAGTGTCTGGACCACCCATCCTACGCCTAATTGGCATTTTGCGTGTTCACCTAAAGGATATACCGACAGACATATCAGTCTGTCGTGGATCAAGGACGTGTTTGACCCTCAAACCCGCTCGCGAGCCTGTGGTAAACCCCGTGTTTTGATCAATGGCTTTGCCACCCATGAATCCGCCAAGCTACTCAAGTTTTGTTTCCATCACAATATCATCCTTTGTCGTTTACCTTCCCATACTTCTCATAAACTCCAACCGCTCGATGTCGGCATCTTTGGCCCGCTTAAGACGGCATATCGAGAACAAGTCGAGCAACTATATCGCGGAGGAGTTGGAACGGTCGGCAAGCAGCACTTTACATTATTGTATAGGCGAGCACGGCAAGCCGCTTTTACCGAGTTTAACATTGTCTCTGCTTGGAAGAAGGTCGGCGTCTTCCCTTTTGACCCGGATCGTGTCCTTGCCACCATCTCAGGACCGGAAATTGACCAGATTCCAGCATGTATTATACCTCCACAAACTCAATTCCCCTCCGCCGACGAAATACAGGCCACACCCGTGACGTCCGAGGGATTTGCGGCACTCCGGCGCCTGATTAAAGGTGAATCCCACCATGTGAACGAGCTAAGCCAGCGCAGAATGGAAAAAGCCCTTAACGCCGCCGAGCGGGCGCTGACCGAGAGCAGTCTGTTACGAGATCGAAGCCAGGAACTATTTATACAGAATTGTGAGAAAAAATTGCGCGTGTCCACCAAATCGAAAGTGGTAGGGACTGCCCGAGTGATGAGCTACCGGGATATCATAGAGCAACAATCGACATAGGAGACTATGGGGATCGCGACCTCTGGACCAGGCGCTGGACGTCAAGTTCCAACCGAGGGCAAACTTTCCCTACCAGTTTCCGATCAGGCTCCAAGAAAGCGTAGACGACAGGGAGAGCTGCAGCAGGCCATCCAGGAAATCAATCGCTTAAATATAAGCAGCTACTGCCACGTCTTTGAATTGTGAATTGTAACAAAACGCCACAAACACGAAGAGTATGTTCAGAGGGTATCGGCGGTTTATTTGAGTCTTTGCAGACCTAGAGAGAAGCTTGTTAGGGTTTTACTATAAGAGGTTGTGGGTTACAAAGGACGCAGTGTCCACAACTGACTAGATATGCAGAATAACAGTTGTATTTTGTTTTGGCAATTATAGTTTCGCTACATTATCAAATATAGCATTCAAGTAGAGTTGCAGTGCCGGTGTCAGAGCTGCTCCCGACAAGACTCCGGATGGAGACTGTTCAGTCACAGGTCCTTTAGTCAAGCTTGAGCTGGGTAAGGAAGATGCAAGGATGAGTGAATCACGACACTTGAAGTGTAGGGTCAAGTAGGGGACATGAGTTGACTACGGGGAAGGGGGCTATCTGTAGGTGGGTAAGGGGTATCTATATACTTGTTCGAGGTTTCCCAACGTGGCAATATCTCTGGTATGTTGGTATGTTGGTATGCCAGCATACCAAGACACTACCAAGACTTCCTCGTCTGGTAATCACGTGATATGCAGGCCAGCCTCGCGCAGAGCGAGGCTGTTCCTCGGCTTGCCTTCCTGCTCCAGGCCCTGTTCGTAACAACCAGTATCTAACAGTAGATTTCGGGGAAAGAAATTAGTTGCGGTCAGACCACCAACGCTTTTGAATGGTGGGTTTTCTGAAGGACCCTGATTTAGGTGCAATCCTAAATTTAGTGGAGTGGGGTGGTGGCACTTGAAGTAACTCTTGGTCAGACAACTGATTTTGGTCTAAATAGGGCACACAGGGCTTCTTGGCACATCGGGATGCACGTTACTGGTGTGGCTTGAGATCGGCGGCTGAACCGCCCTCAGGTACAGAAACCACAGCCAAAGCATGCACCTATGAGCGAATCCAAACCATACAGGGATTCTCAGCTCCAGACCGCTGAAGAACACTGCTTCGCCAATTACAGTCCATCCAAACAAGGCAGCATTGCTCGGCTATTCCTCTTTCACTCATCCTAAATGCGGCACATCTGGGAGTGAACATGGGGCGCGTCTGGGTTGCGCAGTTGTCAAGACTTCTTCTCTTAGTCAACTTCAATCATGGGTTTGTGACTGTTCACAGCATGAAGCTGCACCAACGGATCATCCGACATAATGAAATTGCTGTTCATCCCATGCGACGGTGAAGGGCAAGCCCGGAAGACTGTCTCGGACGAAGGAGTGACCCGGACCCAACACGCCGCCCGCGAATATCACAAGAAGGCAAAATTGCGCAGAGCCAGAAACAAAGGCCAACTCGCGCATGACACTCGCAAGTCGACCAAGTCCAACTCCACGACTCCGACAGATGAGCTAGCCGTCTTGGAGCTGAAAGCCGAGCGACAATCGCCTATCCAAATTCTTCTGGGATCAAGTCGATCCGACCCATTCAATACAATTGGTGACCCCGACGCTCCACTCTACGTGCACGAAATGCTGGATCATGCCATCTCATGTCACTATTCGGAAATGTGTCTAACCGACGGCGGAGGACTCAACGCCGCTAGAACCGAAATCATGCAGTCCGTTATGTACTCTCCTGTGGCTTGGTACACGATTATCTTTGCCGGAGCTACTCACAATGCGTACCAGTATGGGGATCGCGGGACAACGAAGCAAAACGAACAGCTCAGGCTTGTGTATAAGACGAAAGCCATCAAGTCGCTCCTGGACTATATCCAAGAAAACGGCGACAAGGTATCCGAGGAAGCTCTACTGAGCATGATAACCTTGGCATCTCACGGAAGCGGCGAGAATTTGAAGGGTCATGATTCGTATAGGCGGCAAAAGCTCCCCTTCCTGTCCCACCTACACGACGTTGACTACTACGCAAGCATGGACATTGGCATGGAACATCTAACTGCTGTGTATGCCATCGTGGATCGACGAGGAGGGCTTCGCACGTTGCAACGGAAGAGTTTGGCGATTGTTGTTCAAGTGTAAGTAGCTCCGGGATTTCTAGGCTTGAACTGACGGTGAGAAGGTGCGACATCCTGACATCTTGGAGGGAATTGCAGCGTCCTCACTTTAACCTCCTGGCGCCGACAAAATGGCACATCAGGAAGAGGAGCCATCAACCGGATGCTGTGGCACAAGCCATGCTTGAAACTCTGACAACAGGCTTTCACAGATTGATTGGTGATGGTTACACCAGTGTTGACCATCTCGTGGAGATTGCCGATTTCACGAGCATCTTCTCGGCGGACTTTGATCAATTGCTGAGATGCTATGATCTCCCGGAAAAGCAACGACCTCTGCATACTCCCAACATGGCACTCGTCAGATATATGCGCTGGTGCGTGCTCCACGACATCCTGATGTTGCCCGAGAACAGCACCACCGACGACGAAAATTTCCCCGAGCATGTTGTTTACCAGATCTGTCGACATATCCTGTTCGCATACGCGGTGTTCGTCGTGGTGCCCATGCCGCCAAGGACCAATCTACATGCCAAGATTGCCGAACGACTCAGACGCCTCCTGGTCAGTGCAGTCAAGGTGGGCATTCCGAGCCAACTGCCTGACCTGTTTTTCTGTGCGGTCGCCTGGGGTTGGATGTGTACAGAAAAGGCGGTCGGATATCGCAAACTCGAGAAGCTGTTGGGAAGCTTCACCACTTTGCTGGAGTTCACTGTGGTCCGGCGGAAGCCTGATTCATGGCCGATAGTCGAGGAGATCATGAAGTCCTTCTTATGGATGGAGGCCTATTGTGAAGGGCCGGGACAGAAATTTTGGGCTGGTGCCTGTGGGCAGGCGGAGGAAGACCTGAAGGGAGAAGCGTCTCCTTGAGATATCACGTCAGACCCGGCAACGGTGTTTGCGGCTGGCCTGATGCATTTGGTCGGATAGGGAGAATGTGTATTCACTCAACGATTTCACATGAAAGATCTCGTTGACGCGAAGGCGTCATGGTTGCCTATGATGGTTAGGGCTTTGGGAGCAGTAGAAAGCAAAGCTCAAAAGCTTGGACGCACCTTAGCCTTGTCCGCCAAGTGACTGAAGAGGTTTCTGGCTGGCTGGAAGAATTCATCGAGGACGGGAGTGATTCATGTCTTGTCTAGCGCAGTTCCCATCGAGGGGTGAAGAGCATACATACTACCGAGGCTGAAGAATCCATAATAATATAGAACAAGACCAATTTAACTGATTCAAACGGGGGGCCTCCCTAGCCCAAAGTCAGAGGCAACATTGCCGCATAACACTTGCGCCAGGCCATTCCAAGCGCGGCCTTGAGCAAGCCTTGAGGTCCTCGGCACCTGTCGAGCTCTATCCCCATCTATTCGAGTTTCTCGGACTCCCTTTCTCTTCTTTTTTAGACACACAGGTCCTACGCAATAAAGGCTTTGCCACCAAGGTCATTGAGACCACTTCCCCTTGTTTGCTAGTTAGGTTATTACCGATGTGCACGGCCTAACAGAGCGAACGGCAAGGAGGCATCCCTTGGACTGAGATGGCCAATAGGGACCATTAGCACCTGGTTTGCCAGGAACAGAGATCTAGAATACGTTGACAGCTAGCCACAGTTGGGCGTGTGATTCGCATACCAATGCTGAGGGTGCTGCATTTCAGCCGCAGCTGAGGACCTTTGGCATGTCCAACTATGCACGGGAGCCACGTCGATCAGAATTCGCATTCGGGGCCCCAAGAGGAAGGGATCAAGGCACATCCGTTTTGTTCTCCAGCCGGAAGTTCAGAGTCCGCGAAGCCTTATAGCGCGCACTACTTGTGATGAATGGATTCTCCCATCATGTTAATGTCCTCCCAAGTTTAACGAGTTTCTTTATTAAAAGCTGTGTGATCCTTCCGACAATGTCGGGCTGCCTAGAGGGTTACAACACCATCTTGGAACTGCTACTCGCAGGTATTGATCAGAATGACCTGCTCGCAAAGGTCAGAGATGAATCCAGTACACAATCCAGTGAATTGGCAGAGTTGAGGCCGAGGATTTTTCACAGCACATCGAATCCTACACCGATCATCACTATGCAGAATGGCAAGTTCTCTGCTGCCCCGGCTCTGGCTATCAAGGATGGAAAAGTTGCCGCGATCGGGACATACGAAGCAGCCAAAGATGCCGCCGGCCCGTTTGCTGAGGAACGAGACCTCCAAAGCCTGTGCATCGTTCCGGGTTTCGTGGAGCCCCATCTTCATGTCATTTTGTCGGCCATGCTGAAGGGCTTCTTCATGAATTGCGATCCGCTCAACCCGGAGATCAACGGAAAATTTGAAAGCACAATCATGTTCATCCGGTCCAAGGCCAAGAATGTCAAGCAAGGTGAGTGGCTATTGGGATACGGCTACGATCCTTCAAGGTTGCCTCGCAATACTAGTACCGGCAAATTTCAGGATTTGACGCTGGATATCTTCGCAAGGGAGAACCTCAATGAACATCCAATCTTCATTGTCAATGCATCCGGACATCTAGCGTACGCCAATCAAAAAGCATTCGACGAAGCCGGCGTCGACAACACTACGCCGGACCCAGCCGGAGGTCAGTATATCAAAGATAAAGGCAACTTAACGGGGGTGCTGTTGGAGCCACCCTCATATGAAGCATTCCTCACAAAAGCATTGCCAGCCGACCTTATGAAGGTTCCCACGATCGTCGATGGACTGCGCGAAGTCGTCAAAGATTGGAGCGAGAAAGGTTTCACGTCGATTTTTGATGCTGGTGTTGGGCAAACTGGACCGTTGGATGTCTCAGTCCTCTACGCTTTATCACTCGCGGCACCGCTTCGCATAGCAGGCGCCGCAGCGAATCTTACAAAAGGCGCTGCTTCTAACATCGTCGGAAATGGGAGCATGCCTTCAGACGGTGCGACCGACTTGAAGATCAAAACCATCAAGCTCTGGATGGATGGCTCAACACAAGGCTTCACGGCAGCTCTTGAGAAGCCGTATAATCGGAATATGTTGCCGAATTATTTCGGGAAAGAGCCAAACGGTTGGGCACGTTGGGCAGTAGGATCGACTTGTCCCATCGATGGTGCTGGAGGCGACGACATAGCCGAAGAAATGCTGGCATGGGCTAGCAAAGGCTATCAATTGATGGTTCACGTGAATGGAGATTGCGCCGCCGAAGTTGTTCTCAACGCATTCGAACGGGTCATGGCGGCTGTTCCTCCAAAACCTCCAATCATGCATCGATTGGAGCACTTCACCGTCACCACCCCAGAGCAGGTCCAACGGGCCAAGAAGCTCAACCTGGGCGTCAGTCACACCATAGGGCACGTCAAATACTGGGGTTATGCGTTCCACAACTATATCCTTTCCTCAGACCTTGAGCCTGATAGAGCGGATCGCATCGACCCTGTCAAAGATGACTTTGATAACGAGCTAGTCTATTCCTTCAACAGCGACTCGCCAGTGAGTCAAGCTGACGCTCTGTCATACGTCGGCACTGCGGCGACTCGGCTCATGTATAACCAGGATGGCCAAGTCCTGGGACCAGATCAAATAGTGAGTGTGGAAGCCGCTTTGGCAGGCGTCACGATCAATCCGGCGAAACAAGTCATGCTGGACAGTGAGATTGGCTCCCTCGAGAAGGGAAAGGAGGCTAATTTCGTGATCCTAGCCCAAGACATCAGCTCACCTGCTGTCAATGCCGAAGATATTGACAGCACATGGGTCAAAGAAACTTGGTTCAAGGGAGTCAGGAGATATACTCGGCCTAGCAATGTGTAATCTTGGCTTTTATTTAGTATGCACAGGCAAAGGATATCAAGGCCGTAGCGTATGTAGGGACACACAGTTGCAGGGCGTTGGATATCGCAGAATGTATTTTCCATATGCGGAGGTTCGTCTTCCGTAGAGCCTTCAAACTCTGAGAGGTAATAAAATCGCGGACGGTCATTCTCCGTTGGGAGCGGCATTTTCCCCGATCATGACAACCATGAATCCATGATTGTGTCTCAACTTCAGAAGCAATCACTGCATCCAGCTATACAAGATGACACGCCTATTTGAGCCTATGCGAATAGGAAAATGCAACCTGGAACACCTCGTCGTGATGGCGCCAATGACACGGCTCAGGGCGGATGATGAGCACGTCCCAACCGATATAATGATTGACTATTATTCGCAGCGGGCTTCGGTCCCTGGAACTCTCATCATCACTGAGTCGAACTTTATCTCTGCTCGATCTCAGGGCCGGCATGACAACGCTCCTGGAATATACACCCGTCAACACATTGAGCACTGGGCTCGCATCTGCGATGCCGTGCACCGCAAGGGCTCATACATCTTCGCACAGCTCTGGCACGTGGGACGAGCAGGTCGACCCGAAGTGTTGGCAAAGGCCGGATTGGAAATGGTCAGCAGCAGCGACTTGCCAATCAGCGAGCAACACGGCATCCCTCGGCCCATGACCGAAGAAGAGATTGTGACATGCATCCGCGATTTTGGCCAGGCGGCTCGAAACGCCGTGGCTGCCGGGTTTGACGGGGTCGAGATCCATGGTGCCAACGGCTATCTCATCGACCAATTCACCCAGGACGTGTGCAACCGGCGAACAGATCGTTGGGGTGGCAGCATCGAGAACCGTTCGAGATTTTGCCTCGAGGTTGCTAAAGCCGTATGCGAAGCCATCGGGGCCGAAAGAACAGGCCTTCGACTGTCGCCCTTCAGCGATTTTCAGGGCATGCGCATGAAAGACCCAAAGCCACAATTTACCCATCTCATTTCTCACCTGGCCGAGCTTGGCCTCGCATATCTCCACTTGATCGAGCCCCGAGTTTCTGGGAATGTAGATAGGGACCCGCGACCTCATCAGACCGAGAGCCTAGAATTTGCACGCCTCGCCTGGCGCCGTGTCAATCCATTGATCCTTGCAGGAGGTTTTACGCCCACGACAGCCCGAAAGGCTGTCGACGGCGAATACAAAGACGAGGACGTGGCCATTGCATTCGGAAGACATTTCATCTCCAACCCCGACCTCCCGTTCCGAATCCGCCACGGTCTGGCCCTGGCGCCGTACAATCGCGACACATTTTACAAAGTCAAGTCTCCAGATGGATACATCGACTATCCATTCTGTGAGAGTTACACGAAGTCCATTGGGAAATGCTGATGGAGGCCAACAAGGAGGCTAGGAGAGACGAACACAGGCAGCCGGGTTTTGTATTCGCACCTTTGAAGCTTGAGAGCGGCAAACCACATCCATCGTAGGCCATTGAAGACTTTTTGAGCGAATAGACCATTTCCTACTCACACTAGAAGCACTACCTCTGCCAGGGTAAGCTGCATGCAACCCCCGACGCGCAGTTAAGCTAGAGATTCCGAAGGTTTTCTGCCTGGAAACGTTTTTGTGGGCAGTATCTACCTACCTCACAACGGGCGCCGTTTCCGCTTCCACGTTCTGGCTATAATTGTAGTAAGCGGCAGAGAATAGCGGTTCGGATTTCCCCTAGGGGAGTCCCCCGGTTCTTGACAGTAGGTTTATGCCCAAGGGCTTCGTTTTGCCATCTCAGCACCGATCGGGGCCATTATCAGGCAAGAGACTGCGCCAGCGGCGAGCACGGGGATGGTCAAAGCTTGGACTTCTGGGGAAACGCTGAAACAGTATCGTAGAACATCGAATTATATAATACTGCAAGGAGAGGAGCAAACAAATGTTACCCTCGGCGACCTTGGGATATACTCAGCTTCAAATATGTATTTTTTTTGAAGAATAGAGATGGTGGTTTTCGTGCCGCCGCTTTTGCTACAAAAAACTGCTCTCGCCTGACCGTGGATCGCCGACGATGGATGTCCTTTTTCCACCCTCTGAGGGTTCGAGCTACACTTATAGCTTTCAAGCTAAAAAGGCGATTTCTATATTCGGGCTGAGTCCTTAAAGGCTGTACCGAACATGGATCGAGTGGAGTCTCGCGTTTCGGCACCAGCTCGGACAACAGCGCACTTCAGGACGACAGGCTGTTCGACAAGGTACATACAATGTACTCGATCTAATCAACCAAATTTTCGGGCCCTACTGGGGGTCGTTGGCGTGTATATCGTGCGACCGTGTTTGGAGTACGCTAGGCGAGGCTGGAGTAATCTGGATCTCGTTGACAGGGTCTTGTCCATATTGGGTCAAGCCACGTGGTTCGCTCGCCTGTTCTGGCCAGCCCCACGTGACTCCACAACAGATGCCAAGCCGCGCTTTCCACTTTTGTATAAAATGCTCCTTTTCGACCTCCACCATCAGCTAGCCTTTGAGACTCAATAATATTCTAAACCGCCTCCCTGCGCGCTTCGCCTCTCACTCAGGGCCTGAGGGAATTGTTGTGGGGATAAAATGCTACAGCACAGTGTGTCTCGGAGCCGATGGTTCCAGAGGGGATCATATAGGTAGGACGACAAGGAGCTGCGTAAAACTAGTCTTTTCTCCTCTCATTCTGCTTCTGTCCTTTGAACTATTGCGACCATGCACTGACTTTTGTATACTGACTTTTGTCCTTCATTTTTTTTTTTGCCCTCTCTCTCTCTCACACACACAAAATAGCTGTCATGGCCTTGCTCCGCTTCATAGTAGCGCTAGTCCTTGCAGCGTCCGCTCATTCATTCAGTGTGCCGTCCCATGGCGATACTACCACCACAGAGACCCTCACTAGATTTGTCTTTACTTGCCCTTGCGACTCGACTACCTCTGTCAGTGTCGGCACCGCCTATCCTACCTCACCTGCAGAGACGTCTGACGGACACGGTTGGGATGATTGGGATGGTTCTGTTTCACACTCGTTGGGAGCTCTGAGGTTAACATCAAGCTCATATTCTTACTCAACTACACGGTCAAAACCTTGGACATCTCGGACAGTTTCGTTGGATACGACTACAGCCTCTGTTCCAGAATCAATCTTAACCTCTGCTGCGTGGACTTCTGCCTCTCCTAATCTACCCGAAACACAAGCCAGCACTCCCCGACCCGAGTCAACAACATCGAAAAGCTCGATCACATCAGTGTCAACCTCCGCATCTTCCCCCATTACTTCCTCATCGACATCGACGACCACTCCTGTGAGCTTGTCGCCTACCGTAGAACCAAGCACGACGATCTCAACGACGACTACGACGAGCTCATCGCCTATCGTTGAAGTAAGCACAACTAGCACGACTACACTCACAACCTTGGAAATCACAACAACGACACAGGAGACGACTTCTGCCCTCACTCCACTCACAACTAGCACTTTTTCCATCACGACTACTTCATCAGAATGCTCATTGGAGACTATCACGACTACTCTGAAGAAGAGAGATGTTCTCGAGGTGCGGACGCTTACAGTACCTGCTGCAGGATGCTCCATTACAAGCTCCAGCACAACGCTTATGGACGAAGCAGCATCTAGTACAACGACATCGCCCGCGGGCATCCCGACCACTACTCCGAGCACAACCTCCGCAGGGTCGACAACATCTACATCCTCAGCAATAACCTCGTCCATCGACACGAGCTCAACCACTGGAGAAAATGATGCCAGTTTGAGCAGCACCACAAGCATGAGTACTGTGACCGCGACTGTGACCACTTCGAGCTCCTCCTCTACCACTTTGAGTGCAGATTCCTCGGCTCCTACAGTTGGTCAGCCGTTTTCCCTTCAGGTCAACACCGGTGGATCAGGAAAGCACAAGCGAGACATCCTAGTGGTCGGGTATGTCAACGGAGCACTTGTGCTTGTGAGCTCTCCAGCTGATGCAGTGGCCTTTGTCCTCACTTCTGATGGTGTGCTGATGATCTTTGGCACTACTTTGGTCGTCGGCTTCAGCGGTGGCCCAGGACTTTCAGCTTTGATGATCTACTCCTCAGTCTCAGCTATGCCAACGACAATTGTATGGTTAGTCTCTGGTGGCGCCCTCGTCTTGCCAGGAGCTGGCTTCTGCGTTGGTGCCGGCAACGTTATGTCAGTTAATGCTGGACCGACAGATAGTAGCTGTGCTCCTGTTACTGCGGTGCCGGATACAGATACAGACTCGTACAATACTGAAGTCGCCAGCACGGTAACACCGGCGCCTCAAACCACGACTCTGACCACTCCGAGTTCGAGTTCCATATCAGTTGAGGCTACTGCTACTCCTGGCTCATCCTCGCTCACCACCTCGAGTATCTTTACCAGCCCAACCCCAAGTCTTGCCAGCTCTACCTCAAGTCTCACCACTCCAGCTTATGTCTCGACTACCAGTACAACATCTTTGGATAGCACAACCTCGGACAGTGGCGTGACTACCAGCACAACAACCGCAACGAAGACCGAGGAGACAAGTGGACCGAATTGCTCCATTCTACCTTTGGAAAATCAGACAGCACCAAGTGGCACTCAATACACGCAATTCTTCTACAGCTGTCGCGCTGCCATTCCCCCAACTCTCGGCAGCAGTTACTCCATAGCCACTTCAGGTAATGGAGGCTATAGCACGGACCCTACCGCCTTCCTGAGAGAATGTGTGGTGAATGCCGAAGAGGTTGGAGCCAGCGTATGGACTTACTATCAGACGTCGTCAGACTTCGGCTGGCACTGTGGCTTTTGGACCGGCCTAGTGGCAGATGATGACATTTTCGTGGACGACCTGACAGTTTTCACCATGAATGCTATGACAGTGGTTGGAGCAGGTGACACCTCAAGCATCACAAGTACTTCCTCTAGCTCCACACCGCCATCAGGGATCTTCTCCAGTTCGACGCCCACAAGCTCAGCCGTGACTGCGACTTCCAGCTCAGCCTCCGCAACGCTAACATGCACAAATCTCTGCAGTGCGGGAACAGTATCGTCGGGCTCTCAAGTATGGGTACAGGCTGAAGCAGGATGCTCAGAGTACAATTTTAATTGGGTTTATGCTGCTTTCACTTTCTTCCCTGCTGGCTTGTCTGACTGTGATGTGATTCAGTATTGTGCCAACTTCGCGGTTCAACAACGTATGACAGCTTTCAGAGCTTTCCGGGTTCCCACTGAAAACCAGTGGCACTGTGACGCCGGTTTGAACAACGACGAAACAGGCGACTACGAATACTCCGCAGCTCAAGGCGCTTTCTACATGTACAATCTTGTCTCTGCTTCAAGCTCCTCCACAACGTCTGCAACTACGCCGTCTGCAACTTCTCGGTCTGTAGCTGCAGTGTCTACAACTACAACGTTTGCAAATACAACGCCTGAAACTACAACTATGTCCAGTACGACAAGCACAATATCATCTGCACCCTGCGTAGCAACTTCGGCTTCAGTCGGTGACATTTTAAATACCCCGGATGGCAATTCCTGGATCAATTTCTTCTCCTCTGGGTGTGGGTTGTCCTTGGATTGGCAAACCTTGAATTGGAACAATCTTTATGTTTACCAACGCACCGATTATACATTTGCCGAGGCTTTATTGGAATGCGCCACCGTCGCAGACAACGACGGCTCGCCTGTCTTCGAGTTCGAGACCGATACTCGCAACAACAATCGATGGGTGTGCTGGACTCTCAACGATATCACCAGCGACCCGGCACAATTCCAGCCCTATCCTGGCATCGCTGATGCGTACGGCTGGTACCTGCCTAGCAGGATGATTTTGCCAGTAACCACAACATCAACCACGACAACGACATCCATCTCCGCTACTACAACCACAACAGAGACAACACCAACCTTGACAATGACATCTACCTCCGCTATTACAACCACAACGGTGACAACTCCAACCTTGACCACGACATCCACGTCCGCTACGACAGCTACAGCCACAGCCACAGCTACGACAAGCACAACAGCCGACAGTCTGGCACCAGCTGAGACTTTTTACATCGTGGCTGACACGGTAGTGGCAAATCGCAGGATTAAGCGAGATACAGAATATCTCGTCCTGAATCCACAGACTGGCTTGAGCAGCCTTGTCAACTCCGAAGTTGAAGCAAGCATATTCACTACTGCCGATGATGAATCATTAATGGTCATAGTGAGTGGCACGCCTGTCTGGGTTGGTCTTACAATCAGTGCGCCCACTCAACTCGTGATGGAGACTGAGCAACCAAGTCCTCCGGTCACTGCAATTATTGACAGCAACGGTTTCCTGACCATTTCAGGAGTGGCGGCTGAATGCATCGTGGACGGCGGACTTATTGTCTCTCCCGCAGGCTCGATTCCTGACGGATGCGTCCAGGTCATACTGAAAGCAGTTTCTACAACCATTGCTGTTTCGGCTGATCAAAGCACAGCGACAAGCACGTCTGCATCTTCATCAGCAGTGGCTGTTCCTACAACATCTGGATTGACAACAACCACTAGTACGGTGACGACTACGACCATTATGACGACTACACCGACTCCAACCCCTACTTGCGACAATGGTTCAATTGTTACAGACACGAATGGAGATACGTGGGAGACTCTCTGCGGACAGGGCAGTTATTACGGATGGAGTTCCTTCACCTCATTCGCCGACGTGGAAACTCTATCTGATTGCATTGTCAAGTGCAACAAAGACGATTCGTGTAATGCGGTCTCTATTGAATACAGAAATGCTCCAGATAACAATCTTTGTGGTTTCATCTCCACCTCGATTGATTTCCAACCTTGTGATTTTGCTGCGGATACAGCGATCAAGATTTCAGGAGCAAATGCCAGACCACAAATTGATGTCTCTGGATCATCGACGACAGCGGCGATGACAACGACATCCGTCAGTGCTTCAAGCACAATCACAACCTCAGCCACGTCGACAACTACAACCCCTGCATGTACGCCATCTGCGATCGGAGATATCACCGCTCTTTACAACACCACCCAGACTTTCCGCAACGTTTACACAGGATGCGGCGAGTCGATGGAAGGAGGGACGACAGGTGGTCTGGGCTATTTTCCCAACCAGTTCGCAGTTAATTGGCTGGCGTCAGAAAACTATGAGGGCTGGTCCTTTGACAGTGCTGTAAGCCGATGTGCTCAGTTCGCGGTTGACAATGCTGCCACAGCGGTTGAGTTCTATATCGACGTGGATCAGAATTGGCTCTGCGTCGGCGTTGAGGATCTGACCGTTGACGACTCCTCCTTCTATCCCGATTCGAATGTCATTAATGTCTGGGGCTTCGTCTGGGAGAATTGGTGCCAGAATACGCCGCTTGACGATATCAGCGCAACAGATGGAACGATCTTCTCTGAATTCTACACCGGCTGCAGTGCATCTTTCCAGGGCAATACACCCGGGGGACTCGTCAACCTTAACCGAGTTGTGTCAGTGGACTGGCAAGCTCCAGACTATTCCGGCTACACGTTTGATGCCGCTGTTCAAAAGTGTGCTGACACCACCATTTCGCAAGGTGGTAACTTGTTCGAGTTCTACATTGGCTCAGATGATTGGTGGTACTGCATTGCAGTGAACGACTTGCCTGCTACGGCTAACAGTTTCTATCCCGACTCTACAATTGGTAAGGTCTGGGGGTTTGCGATTACAGAGGCAACCGATGTCTGTGAACCTACACAGCTTGCAGGATCGGTCCAGCTAGCGAACGGCACTACCTTTAGTGAGTTCTACGATGCGTGCCATGTGTCACTGGAAGGCGATACCCCTGGCGGACCGAGCTCCATGACAAATGTGTTTGGCTTCAACAATCCACCTGGCGAGGACGGCAATCACGGAGGATGGACCTTGGAGACTTCTCTCCAACAATGTATCACAGACTCGGCAGCTGCCGGTGCCACATTGGTCGAATTCTACGAGAATGCCGATGAGGATCCTACTTGGTACTGCTTTAGTGCCAACAACGTACCGGCGCAGAAGGTTTCGTTCTACGGTGATGCGAGTGTTGGCCGTCTGTGGGCTTTCACGCTTGACGAGTCTACCCTATAGACAAGCTGTTAGACGGTCATTTGTCTTTGAAGAGGATATATGCTTTCACCACTTAGAGTATATTATATCAAACACTAGGTAAATAATACACAGGTTGCCAGCGCGTTTTCGGGATCTTCTGCCGAGGACCTAGCATTCACAGGCATTATAAGAACACTGTTCCGCACACGAACATACCTAGCGCTCAGCGGCGAATCTTGGCGTCCCCCAGGTCCAATCTCCGTTTACAGACCTGAGTATCCCACCATTTGACCGGAGGATGACGAAGACAGTCTAAACTATGGCTGTTCACGCCGAGGCAGATTCTTAACTGACAGTCAACACCTGTTCTGGGTCAGGAAAAGAGCGCTATTTTATTGACTTTTGATGGTAGGCCCTGTTCCACATACCTGATCAGAGCCTGGTACCTCGTACCTCGTATACCGGGCTTTCATTTGAGGCTAGTGGGCAAGTGGGGAACAAGGCAGCCACAAGGCTGACAAGTCACTTTCCACGGACACGACGAACCCAATCCGACTTTTGACTTTAGTTAAGTCTACTCAGCCTCATCAGCTATTAACTCACTCCCCTCTATAAGAGACAGTCAGGGGAAACTTGCCAACACCTAGATCGCCCTCCTCTGCCTGCTACCAAAACTATCCTCAACACCTCGCCCGTCTCATATCGAAACCCTTCCGCTCTGTGCCCATCTGCCCTATAACTTGAGATGGGAGCCTCTTTGCCGGATCAATCAAAAGCCCCATCTGAGAACGAATCATTGGCTCCTTCTGATGATGACGGGTCGTCACCTCCCGCATATAGCGGGACCGAATCTGTCGCGCATAAGATCCAAACCTATGTTGAAACAATGTCCCGGCTCACCCAGGGCGCACCTCTGAAACCCGTTGAGAGCTACCCGAGACCTCTGGTCGACGGCCTGGACGGGCTCGTCCTGACCGCCGAGGGGGAGATAGTCCCGCCCTTTTTCGCGGCAATCTACAGGAAGGAAATCGACGTGGTGGCGCTGTTCCTGCAGAGGAATGTCGTCACCGCGAATACACAGTATGAAGGTCGAACGCCGTTGCTGGCCGCCGTGGCGAGCAAACACCTGCCGACCGTCAAGTTCCTGCTCGAACACGGAGCCAATCCCGACGAGCTCGGTGTCTATTCGACAGGATGGGACCACAGTCTGGGCAAGATCTGCACGTTCCGGACGCCACTCCAGGCCGCCGCTACCGAGGGCCACCTGCCGCTCGTGAAGCTTCTCATGGAAACCTACGGCTGCAACGACGGCGTTGTCGCCCCGGATGGCCAGATCGCGCTCCGCCTCGCGGCTGAGCACGGTCACCGCGAGGTCGTGGCCTACCTTCCCGCCCGGCGCGCGGGCGGCTTCCGCCGCTGGAAGACTAAGCACCAGGCTGGGCTGCGGCGCACCCGCGTCGCGCTGGGCAAGTGCGCCACCTTTGTCAAACTCTTTGTGTGGGACGTCGAGAAGTTCGTGCTCTGGACAGTGCCCAAGAACGTAGTGGTCAAGCCGTTGTGGTCGCGGTGTCGGTGGGCGTGGGAGCATCGCGCGGATTTCCTGCCGTGGTGCCAGCTCCAGATTCGACAGCTGGGCTCGCGGCTCCAGCACGCCGGCGCAAGGCTGGTGGAGGCTATCAAGGCGTCACCGCGAGCCGTCGTCAGGGCCGCGAAGTATGTGCGCCAGCACTTGCCGGCCTTCCTCCACCGCCAGGCGCGGCTCGTCTGGTCGTTCGTCACCGTCAGGATCCCCCAGGGCGCCCTCGTCGTGACACGCTGGATCTATGACGGCATCGTGGCCGTGAGTGCGGCGGTTGCGCGTGGCGCCCTGCTCGTCGCCTCGTTGGTTCACAGCGCCGTTCATGCCGTCGTGTTCTTCTTCTCGACGTTGACCGTGCGGGATCTGTGGAACGGTCTATCCTTCGTCCTGGCCCACGTGTTTGTCACGTTCCCCAGGGTGGTCTGGTCGTGGATGTACAACTTTGGGGACGTTAGTTTGCGTGCCCTACAGGCCCTGTTCGGTGGCCTCGGAGAATGTATCTGGCTGGTCGTCACTTGTCTTGGCTTCTTGGTCCTATATCTCCCACGGAAAATCCTCACGATCCTGGGCAACTTTGGAGAATCTCTCGCACGAGGTTCTTACGAGGTCATTGTTTGGCTGAACCCAAAGGCCTAGAGAAGAGTAGCAGGATAATCGGGGTACATTTTGTGGGAGATGTGTTCAAGCTTAACACGCAAAAGCGGAATCTCTCGAGTCTGGCATGGTCGAAGAGAGCATCGCCACAGTTGGGGGAGGGCAAGGGAAGGATAATGGGCCTTGTCTTTGACACTGCCGAGTTGGGGCCAACTGAGACATTTGGACACCAGTACCCTGGTTTCCTGGATACCATGTACAATGAAAGCATAAGCGACAGTCAATCTCTTGGTTTGTATCTTAACAATGGCAGTGAGTAATGAAACATGTGGGAAGCGAAGGCTGAGATTCTCGACAGGTGTGCTCGAGACCGAAGCAATAGGCTCGCTTGTGCTCGGTGGTTGCGATAATCGACGTTCACCGGACTTTCTTACGACGCTTGCAATCCGATCTCTAAGCAATGTCGCAATGCTGTGAGTAGCCACTGCTCTGGGTAGATCGAGCCCTCACCGGGGCGCAATCTTAGACGGGGATATCTAAGCGATGTCCACACCGGCGGTGCTTGACTCTGGTGCTATGATGACGGGCATTCCGATTCCGGCATATGAGGCTCTTATCGCGCATCTGAGCTTCCCCTACCTCGTACAATGGGGAAATCGATCGTCGGTATGCATCCGCTGATATTTCTAGTAAGTCGCCCTGACCATTCTTCTACGTAGGCCCCCTGAGAGAGGGCCCACCATCAGCTGAGAACCTTTAATAAGATGAAATCGTGTTTATGCTGACAGTAATACCTCTGCTCTTACAGTCGGCTTCACCTTCGCGGATCGCGAGAAAGTAGTCTTAATTAAGATCCTCTTTTCGGGGTTTGTATTCCCTAAGAATGGCGGTTACTCGTTGGCTACGACGCGGGGAGGAAGACTAAGAAGCCATATTGGGTAACCTATGGTTCGTGAGTCGTTAGGTCGATGTATTTAGTGGGTTCGGTAGATGTGAAGTCATCTATGGCTGGGGAGTGTAGTGTCGCTAAGTGTAGGAAAGGAACAACAGTAGTTCCATCCTCACACAATGACTAGAGTAAAAAAGCAAAAAAGCAAAAAAACTCAGCTTATGAGAAAACCCCGCGAAGGATGTTTTTTTTTGGTCGACTCCCGGACTCGAACTTAAGTCCTTCTCCCCTCTCGTCACGGAACCCTCCTGCTCATCCTCCTCCTCTTTCTTCCTCCTCTGAGCGCTCAACCCCAATTTCACCCTCCCCCGTCTCTCGCATCGGAGGCCTTATTTGTTGTTGTGTGGTGTGGTGGGTAACAATGACAGGTTACCTAATCAAGTTCCTGGAGTAACCAAAGTGGTACTTTGAGCCCGCGTTGTGGCAACCCAACTCTTGGATTTATGGTTAGGTTGAGTTGATGCAGGTAAGATCCGATCAATTGTTGTGAGATATTTCACCAGAACAAAATATAAAGTACTGCACAGTGGATCTTACACGTGTGAGAGAAAAAAAAAGTGAAGTGAAGTGAAGAGAATTTGAGACTAAGGTTGGCGCTCCGGGGGAAAGGCTGGATATATATCTCTGGTAAGGCTGTGGATCGTCATGCCAAGAACGATTCCCAATTTCACTTAATGTGACTGATAGAGTCTAGCGCCGGCAAAACTACGTGACGTCAGTTTTCAGGCAACATTCATCTATTCTAGGACCTCGCCTCCGCTTCTTTGTACTTGTATAGCATGCCTTGGTGTTGATATCTCATATAGATCGTCTATTTCCACCTCTTCGCCGTGTCCCCGTGACTCAGGAAGAAGATTTGGTTGCCGTGATCCCACGAGTCTAGCAGCTCGTTTGCACACTCGTTTAACTCTTCCAAGTTCCGGTGCTGTTGACGGTGGATGGTGACGGACTAGTTCAGAGGGGCCCTTAGGCGAAGGACTACGGTGAGATGGAGATTGATTTGGCGTCATTCTGAGAGGTAGTTGATATAAGCTAGGCAGTGAGGGGGTCAGATATCTGGAAACTGAAACATTGAAGTACTATGCCTCCGTACAGTATTTGACGAAGTTTGTCAAGTAGAAACGAACGCCAGTAAAATTTTTCTGGTAACCGTTTCTGAAAAGCATTAAGCGAATTTGCTGTGGCACGAAGGTGCTGTCGAAGTTCCTGTCCGGAGAGATTCCCTCAACTTTGGCCGGCAGGCCAAAATCTCCTGGGATGGAAGAGCTGGACGATCTGTCGCTGTCTGTTGGGGGGCGGTGCGTACCACTCCTGTCCCTGTAAGTCTCGCACTAGGTCTTCGTGAGCAGCCATATGTTGGTTGAACTCCGTCTAGATATAGCTAAGCACTGTGCACCTAGCTATTCAGCTTGTACGCTGCACTTTCTCCGATACCTCGAAGAATTATTGTCAAATGCTATCGCGGATCGGGGTTTGAAGATAATCAAGAACGAAAACAAAGAAGGAGGGAGCGGCTAGTGGCAAAGCGTAGAAGATATGGTGGAGTGGGCAATATCTTGGTTTCCAACGCGGGACTTTGGTGTTCACTATTTCAGCTGCTGATCAACGCAGCACTGAGATATGTATTGGACACGTCGACGGGGAATGAGGTTGGGTTGATATCATCTGGGGTTCCATCCTTGATAAAGCAATTGCACCAACGTTCCGAAAAGCGCCGCCAAGAGCTGAATTGAACAGGACGGATCTGCAGTACATCGAGCTGTTGCGATGGGGCAGGTCGTTGTGGTCGTCAATGTTCAGACAAGTCTGCAAGGAGTCGGAAAGAGTGTAGCTAATGACGCCTAGTAGGTCGAAGTACGGCATCGCGTTCCCGTCCGCATCTTTTGCTGTGCTGAGGGCGTCAGATCCAAAGTCGATGCCATAGTATTCTTAGGATGTCCCTTTGGAAAGAGCGCTCACTTGGATTGTCTCATTTTAGCAGTTCAGAGACAAAACCGACACATCTGTCGGAGTAACGGCAGTGTATGGCGTCTTCGCGGTCGCCGGGTCGCAGAGGCCGTGGTAGTCGAGGGCGGCGTCGGCTCAGTGGCGATTGTTACGTGACTGATGACACTCGGTGAGCGGATAGAGCTCCGAAGCCATGTCAGCGCGCACATCCGCACAACAGTACAAGCCGTGGGCAAAGTCAACTCTGCCCAAGCCCGAGCCGCATCTCTTTTCGTTCTGGCAGTGTGCGAGTGTGGCTTCCAAGTCCCTCCCGTGGTGCGCCAACGACCACAGCAGTCAAGCCCCGCCGTCAAGGCTACGAGAGTCCACCTTCCCAGTCCATGAGATTGACGGGCTTCATGGTGATAGGCTGGGACGGAGAGTTTGCTTTGTGAGTCGTCTCCATATGGGCGGTGCGGACTTCGAGGTCCGAATGCTTTAGCGGCTGAACCACCTCTGGGACATTGAAGTCGGACATCTCGTTGCGGTGTTACAAGCTTGATTCCACAGCAGAGAAACGCGGCGGCCAACCGAGGGTAAACAGCTCGTTGTCAACGGTCGGGCTGTTGAGGGTGCGGTTATTTGAACCAATTTGTTCATAGTAACCACAAGTAGGCCTGTTCCGTGGGCCGTGTTGAAGGCCCATTTGATAGATGATTTCCAAACCTTTAACTCCCAGAACTGTACTCGGAGTGGGTACATTTACCAGGCACTGGATCAAGAGCATCCGGGGCTCCGGCCGTGGAAACTTGAGCTCTCTTGAGATCCTAAAGCACATCTCAGAGCTCCCATCGTGATAGTAGGTTTTGACTGGCTGGCGTTGGCTTCTGATCGCAATCATTCACAAAGGTGTTGAAGACGGCAGCACAGAGAGTACGAAGAACTTAAGAACTTTTGTACATGCTCGATGCCAAACCACACGTGCCACGACTGACTTTCCTCTGCCGTTTTGTGACCGCGGTCGTCTTTAGGACAATATGGACCGCGTAATTTTAATTCGCCGTTAAGAGATTATGGATGTTTTTTTGCTTCAACCGATACTCCAGCGAACGCCGAGGCTTATTCATACTAAGCTTCGCAAAGGCGGTTTTGCGCTGCAAACGGTTAGCGTCTCTTCTAACCTTCTGTGGCTAGGTACATGGTGTCTGAGCCGTTCGGGTTTTGGTATCTAAACTCCTCAGATACCTTCTCCTTCACCTTCATTGTCCCATCTGAAATTGCTCAAGCGCCATCTTGTAACAGAATATCTCAGGTCGACTATCTCAATGCTGGCATTAGTTTTAACGGCAGATTTGGAAGGGTAGGATGCCGCGTGTACGACCTTCTTTTGACACTAATGCTTTATCCAGCGTGACCGACCTTGTGCCTTCGGACACAGCTGAATCACCTTACTATTACACATTCAAAGTCCAGTGTACATCCTGTCGAGAGATCCATCCCAATTGGGTGGGGGTCAGCCGTCATGTAAGTTCTCCATAACACTATAAACAGGGTGTGCAACTGTGCCCGGTTGGATGTAGCACTATTCTGAATTTGCGACCTGCCGATGGGCTCTGGGCTTCTGTTGATGCTGGAGCCGCCTTGGTTTTAGCCAACCTCCGTACCGTCTAACCTCAAATGCAGGAGATGAACGAACAATCCGGAAGTCGAGGAGAAGCAAACTTTGTCTGGAAATGCAAGAACTGCAAGGTGCGTAGAGGCGACCACTTACCTGATTGAGGATTCCGGTGACTTGGACAGTGCTAATACGACGCATTTTTCAACCAGCGAGAATCAAGCGCCTCCATCAAGGCAGCTCCAGCAAAGTATGAGCAAAATTCTCCTGCGAAACCAAAGAATATCATAGACATCGACTGTCGGGGTCTGGAATTCACGGATTTCAAGCCAGATGTATGTCGAGCCTCTCAAACAGGACCTGCATTCTGACACTGCTTAGGGAGAATGGGAGGCCACCGGAATCGAGTCAGGGACGAAATTCACGGGGATCGACTTGTCGGAAGGAGAGTGGTTTGATTACGATGAGAAAGCTGGCGAGGAAGTAAGCATTAAAGACATAAGATGGGAGATACGGCGAGCTTGAGTCTCAGTTTGATACGTCAGTAAGGCCGGTCATCCACATGCCGTATGTTGTAACGAGGCAGAAAGGCTGGGGTTCAGCCTTGTTTGGCGCAAGGCTGCGCACGGGCCGAAAATCCCTTGGCAGAACATTTTCTGTTTACCTCGTAAAATCGAAGCATTACGGACTGTAGTCCAAGTAATTAAATCACAACACCAGCCGCAGTCAGCTCTCCCAACATAACTCAACGTTCAAAGTCTCTCATTTGACACTATAGACCTCTTCTTCTCTGCATCGAGCGAAAAAAAAAATGAATGTAGGTTGAAAAGTCGACAGCTTTTGCGACCTCTCATCTAACATTTCGCAGTTCACTCCCATAAACCCGCGACCTCTGCTTCAGAGCTTGTACGTCCTCGAGCCCTTCCGTCAGAGTGCGCGAGCACTTACCCCTATCAAGCTACTGTTCGATGTGTTGAAATACGTCCGTTGACAGACTACTTTGCAGGATCAACGACGAAGTGATCATCCGTTTAAAATGGGGTCAAACAGAATACAAAGGCCGGCTCATTAGTGTCGACTCATACATGAACATCCAGCTCTCGAACACAGAAGAGTATATTGACAGGAAGCACACCGGTACTTTGGGACAGGTGCTTATCAGGTATGGCTAACAGATTGCTTTGCAATTGCTGGTTATGCGAAAGGGAGACTGACTGGGCGCATTAGATGCAATAATGTTCTGTGGATATCTGCAGCCAAAGGAGTCGAAATGAATGGCGAAGGACCCGACACGAAGATGGAGGACTAGGTTGGCGACATGCCGCAAAAACAGAGAAGCAAGACGTGGATTCAAGATGCCGCCAGATTTGGTCATGAAGAGACTACAAGTGCAGTGTTTCTGTTTGGGTACACGTGCTCAAACAACCACTCTTCGCTGGATGAATGCGCTGGACGCATGCGCTGGAATGCATTCCTGTCAAGCGAAGCTGGACACCGACAAGACGCTGGCAAGACGGGAAACTGATGCAATCCTCCAACCAGCCGCCGGTGTTGCAGCCAACTGAGCAATATCAATCACACTGGAGTGGTCTAAATTGGGCACCAAGAGATCATGCAGGAGGTGAAGAGCACCATGGGCGTTCCCAACTGGCGCCGAAAGCGTGGCTGCAGTCATTGGAATTTTGCGTGAGCAGCAGTCATCCTCCAGGACCACCGGTTACGTTGAGCTGCAAGTCGAGAGCCTACACCGAGAATTGACCATACATAATGCTGGCCAATTTTGGATGAGGCTTGATTTGCTTCCCTCGCGTCACAAATAGGCACCCGAGGCGTCACTGGAGCGGCAGGATGCGAACCACGGATTATCAGAGTTCTTGCCATGTGCATTAGCGACCTAGGTGACATGTTCAATGTAGTAGAAACATGTTCAATGTCGCTCTCCGGAGACCATGCTTTTGTCGCCGGTGACAGAAAACAGAGTTCAGCCAAGTTTGATGCGAGCAACCAGAGGAATTGCCCCAGTAATCGGCCCTCAGTGCCTAGGTTCTCCGTCGTTTTCGCCCCTTGCTCCTGCGCTTCCGTGCCGCCCTGGAAAGCAATAGTCACGAGGCGTGCCACGCCAAGTGACCATCCTAGGTTTAGAAAAGACTGGTTCGGTAATCCGAACGGGCAATACCTACTCGGTACAAGTGATAATAATTAGGACGAAGGCTCGAAAGGCGGAGGCGTTTGCAGGAAGAGTAAGTTCAGTCGGCAGCCAAACTTGAGCCCAAACCGGCAAGTTGCCCTCCACCCCTCTGCAACCCTCTGCCAACTGAGAACGTCAACCAAAATATTGTCTGCACAGCACACAGCCCAGCGCTGTTTAGGCCACGAGCCAACCACCCAGCCATCCATCCATCCATTGATCCAAGTGCAAGTGACGTTAGGAGGGCACGGAAGCTATTGGGCACTTCGCAAGCGAATCCAACGTTGCGACTTCAACGATCTTCATCCTTTCCTGCGTGGCTTGAACACTGTACTCGTACGACTCGACGTGTTACACAGCAGCTTTGGCCGTGGCCACAGCGCACTTCCTTGAAGATCCTTGCAATGCCTGGCACCATGTGGTTGATTTCTGGCCTCTCAGGCTTCGGGACTCCCTTCAGCCACAGATGAGACCCTGAAACTGGTCCCTGAAGACGGGTGGGTGGGTTCCACGGGGATGGACTTGTCGCGCCTCGGCTCTAGCTCCTGACAGGGTCTAGACGGTGTGCTATCCATTTCCATCTGGGGGAAGACTCACAAGAAGGAGGGGAATGACGAGGCGGCGTCGTAGCCACCCGCGCCTTTATTGGATTTCCAGACCCTCAAACAGGGGGAACCCGACGCGAGTGCAAATTTTGAACAGGCGGGACTTGATCGTGTGCGGTGGACGAAAAAGGATAAGAAATAACAAGAGGCACCACCAGCACTGCCGACCCGAGTTTTCCCTCTTTTCCTATATCATTACCCGCTCGCTGCTCACGGGGCCTGTCTGATCCCCTCGTTTACTGAAAACATTCACTTCTTGTGCACAGAGAAACGCAGAGAGCAAGGCAAGCCTTACCAAAAAAAACTTGGGTGACAACTTCCTCCCTCAAGCTGCAATACTCTACACTCACTACCATGCCTTCCAAATTCACGGAAATACTTGATCCTCAATTTCACACAACATCTCCTCAGGACGATGTCCGCTTGGAGGATATTATAGGTGCTGCCAACATGTCAAGTCGAGGTCGAACTTCTTCCGAGGCCAGTTCAACAAGTCCCAGTTCGTCAAGTGCTGAAGGCGACCAAATCGAAGAGAAGCCTAGGAGAAAGAGGCTGTCGCGATTGCTGTCAGGCGGCAAGCGACGACCCTAACCACTCTTAGACCTGACTGTTTCTATGCAATGGACAACATACGACCAACTACACTATCATGACCTCACCGGACCAACGGCACCGCATAGCAACAATGACAACGAATACCCTTGACGACCACACCAAAATTCATTTGTTTACGAAGTCTTTGCATCTCAAAGAGACAGAACAGCAAACATTTCCTTGAAGAACAGCAAGGCGAAAAGGCTGTCCCTTTTGGTGCGGCGTTTTCACAGCTTTCCCGATCAACACCTCTTCATCCCAGCATTGGAAAGGAGATGAGCGACAAAATCCTGCATTGTGGAAGCGAGGGAGTGTGTGCATGAACTTCTGCAAGTTGACGCGATGTGCCGTTCCTGCGCCAGACACTTCTAGACCCTTTGGACTCTACTATGATGTGAAACTAGCTCAGCACAGAATGGGGAGATCAGCACGGCCCTGCATTTATGATTTCAGACGCAAAAGAGAGTTCGTCAGCCGACGACCTTCTTCGGAGACGTACAGGTGCCAATTCTCGGAGAATGGCATCAATGGTGTGACAAGACCATTTTGAAGATCGAGATTGCTACTTGTTGTGAATGGACGGGACGACGGAGCCGAGACAGTTCTTGCAGAACGAAGATTTCATACAATCTTAGGCGAGATGGAAGATGCTGGCCTGAAGACTGGGCTCGAACAACAGCGCTCAGACCATCATGCCGCCATATCGTTCGACCATGTTAGATTTAAGACCATTAGCATGTCGCTTCATTTTTGAGGCGGAAAGCTCATGGGAAACATGCTAGACGCCCTTGTTCTTTACCGCTTAATAGGCATATACGATAGACGAAACGAGTACAGTGTATCTGCTGCGAACCTGGAAATATGACTTTGAGCTTAGTTTGTTTACGAGAGTCGTTCTCTTTTGCGAATTATTCGGAGTCGCTCTGGGACGGACTCCTTTGTTAATTGTCTCCAGTACGTGCTTTTCGCTAACGAAGCAAAGCTAGTACAGTAATACCTGGGAGTGCCCTAATTAGCCCTAATTGTATGCCCAGGACCACTCGATTGCAACCGCCCATGGATGCTTAGGAATGGCCCCGCCATAGCATCAGCCGAGCCCCGAGCCATGACGAATTTACCTGCATGTCCAGGCACAAAGTATTTAGATTGATATATGATATTGCCTCAAAACTATCCTAATTTATGCCGGGAGGATGGCCGAGGTAAATACTTTCCCTCTTTGCCCTTCTTTCTTTTCCTCTTTTCAGCAACCGATCAATTAACGAGAATGCCCCTCAACAGTGGTTTAAGGCGCTGTGTTTAGGTCTTCTTGCCCCCGAACCGCAGTGGGAAACCTCGTGGGTTCGAATCCCACTCCTCTCATCGATATGGATTTCTTAGTTATTTTTTGCTCTACCTAGAGGATGAATGATTGGATGAGTGGGCCAGGCCGAGAAAAGAGCAATTTTCCAGCCTTTTCTTTTTTTGAGCTGTAGCTTGCCAGGCTGGTCTTTGAGTGTGGGAATGCTGGAGACAAATAGGGAAGGCGCGTAGAAGCAGCATGTGAAAAATACTCAGGGCGCGTCTTGGAATCAAGCAAAATAACACCCCCAGATCCTCACTTCTCAATGTTTTTCGGTTTTCTCTCGAATCAATCCGAAGGCTTTATGTCCCTCCAGGCTTGAGAAAACGACGGATGCCGGTTGCTCGTCCCTACATACGCCTGACTTAGCAGAAAACAACAACGTGCGTGATGGCGGCCTCGAATAACTTGCGCCCCTCAACCGATGAGGCCCAGTCCCACTCTCATCAACCAAGTAAATTCGAACTCCGACGTGCTGCTCTCGTTGGCGAGATCGGAGAGGTGAGTTATTGATTCCCTTCCTTTTCTCTGCCTAGAAAGCTATCAGAATGGAGTAGATGGCGATCATGTTCTGTTGGCACACGATTCAATTCTCGGTTTGTCTGAACTGGTGTATGTTTGTATATATTGAACGAGTGCTAACTCCCGCTGCTTCCCCTTGTCTGTGGAAGTTTAGTCCTTGGAACAAGTCCTCACACAGATGAACGCTCTGAATCGCAGCCTCGAGGGCATCATCGAAGTAAGGACCCGTGGGCCTGCTCCGCGTCCTGTTTATGTTTCCCCTCCCTCCCTTTCGCGGGATCCAGTTTTGTAACCTCCCCGCTGGGACTGACATGGAGACACGTAGATTGGAAACGAATTCTCCAGCGTCGAAGCGCTGTGGAGCCAATTCGAGACAGTCATGGGCAGATCGCCGGCGGTCGACGAGAACGACACAAGCAACAACCACAACAACAACGGCAGCAACAGCAACAACGCAACTGAATCAGTGCACACGGCCGCCGGGAGTGGAGAAGGCAAGCATGGGAAGTGAAAATCGTCCTTGACTGACCACCACAACTACTGTGAGCTGTGTTTTGGGCCATGATCTGTGTGCTGCTGCTGAAGACAACGGTTGCTCTAGCTGGCCATCTACTTTGGTCATCGACCACTTTAGATGGTGCGGAGACGGAAGGTTACAACAACATCCGGGCAGAGTCACTCTTGAAGCACTCCAGAAGAGAAGCATGTTCGACGGGACATCTATTCATTTTTGGAGCACCTATGCCATGCGCTGCTCATGCAGCAATCACGTCAAGCGCGCCACAGCATCGAGACCGAGCCTGAACTCAATCTCGCACCTGAACCCGCTCTGAACCCAGCAGAGTCACATTACAACGCCTCGTTATGCAATTGGATTGCATCCAACGCCGTCCCATATGCGAACCATCTCACATCAGCGGGCGAATTTCCGAGCCCAAAAGGTCAATCATACAAGATCCAAGTTTTGTACCCCGAGAATAGAAAATTCTGGTCTCCGGCGACAATCTGTTTCTGGATCACAGGAATACGCATTTCCTCTTCTTTGCCTTCTTCACCTTGATGCCCTTGTTGTTTGGCTTTGCCTCGAAGCTCTCCTCCTCGACCTGAATGGCGGTGTTGATGGCCAAATCGAACACCTCCTGAATGCCCTTGTTTTCCTTTGCGCTGCATTCAATATACCTGGCCCCCATTCGTTGAGCCACCGCAGCTCCTTGTTCTGGCGTGACTGGGGTGAGGCCCTGAGTGCGCAAGAGTTCAATGCAGGTTCGTTTACTACGGAGGTCTGATTTGAGACCAACGAGGATCAGGGGCGTCGTAGGACAGAAGTGTAGGACTTCAGGATACCACTTGGATGACATGTCAGAAGAGTTATTGCCCACCGTTTGAGGATGCCTTACCTTATCCATGACATTTTCTAGCGAATTGGGGCAGTCAATGGCAAAGCAGACGAAGAGAAGATCTGTTTCCGGGTATGACAGTGGGCGAAGCCGGTCGTACTCTTCTTGCCCCGCTGTATCCCATAGTGCGAGTTCGACTGACCTGCCTGAGGGCTTGTGAATGGTCTGCGTGATGTAATTTTCAAACACGGTCGGTACGTATTTCTATCGACCGTCAGCTATGCTCATCTTCCCGTCCCCGTCCTGCATACCTCTGGAAAATAACCCTGTGCATAGCTGATGAGGAGACAGGTCTTTCCACAACCTCCATCACCCACGACCACGAATTTTTTGGAGTACGCAGGTGGCTGCGTGATATTTGTGGCTTCTGACAATCGTCCCGCACTGCCATAACTCATGTTTGTGCTGACGGTGCCGTTGCTTGTTCTCGTGCTGGGCGCTCGAACAGGTCTTCGCTTCGGTGAGGGGGGAGTGATGTAGGAAGACGGGCTCTTTTCTGAGATGACGGTGGATGTTTGTGAAGGATAGTGATCGGTGTCTGCCATGGTGGGTGAAGGCGCAGGGCGGGCTCTCTGCTGTCAAGTAGCAACAAGTTGACGTGAAGAACCTGACCTGCCTTGACGGGAGCGGCAGTATTATATGCGATGGTAATGACCTGGAGATCAGCACATGTTGCTCAAACAGGTTTCTGCTTGGATTTCCGAGTCAATAATAGCCGTCTGTCTCATCGTGGGATGACTTGGGCGGGCTCCTTCTGTTGTCCGGCGCGGTTGCCCAAGTAACCACTGCCAAACTCGATGTGAAACGCAGGTTTCGTGCAGAATCGACCCTCTTTTTGGCTGCAAGCTTGCGGCCATTGCGACATTGTCGCTTATCGACATGGTTCTGGTGCATGCAGGATCCATGTCGAACATCAGGAGCTTGTCTGTTCCTTCTAAAACCAACTTGTTGAGGCGAATCGAGCTCTCGGCTGGGCTATTTACCGCAAAGAGCTGAGTGGACGAATGGGATAGATAGCCCACAATCTCCAAATTCCCTGTCCCTGCATCTGCACCGCCGCACAGCCGTGACGACCACTACGACTACGACTACTGCAATCTTGTATTCGACCTGTTCGCACATTTCGCCAGCCCCGGACCCTCCGCTGACAAGCTCGATGCCTTCCACTGTCTTCCGCGGTCGATGTTGATGCGTCACCGTAAGGAGATTGCTTCTTTCCTGCGCCAGACTCGGTCTCGATGGAAGAGAGCCTTGCTCTATATACCCCCCTGCAGAAATGGACAAGGAGAAAGATAGACTAGATGCCGGGTTGAGGTCGCTCAATCACTGTATGTGGGAAGAGAACTGCTGAATACTCCCTGGGACTGTTCTGACTCGACCTCAGACAAGCTCAGACTGCCACGATGGCGCTACCTTTTCAGAGAACAACTCCTCCCCGTCGTGCGATGGGAGACTCCCTACGTCGCGTGGCTCCAAGATACCCTACGAACGCCAGCCTTTGATACGTATTTTGCCACATCGGCGAATCTGGGCACACACACATTCTTCATGGTCATGCTGCCTATTCTCTTTTGGTGTGGAAATACCAGTCTGGGAAGGGGGTATGCGACCGTCAATGTCTATCTCGAGCGATTCATTCTGACGTGCAGCAGGATGGTCCATGTCCTGGCGTCCGGGGTTTTCTTTAGCGGCTTTCTAAAGGATCTCCTCTGCCTCCCCCGACCACTCTCTCCGCCGCTGACCCGAATCACCATGTCTGGGTCTGCCGCTCTAGAGTATGGCTTTCCCTCCACGCATTCGACCAATGCCGTGTCGGTCGCGCTTTACTCCCTCTACCTCCTCCGGCAAGAAACCAACAACTTCAACCCGAGCCTCGACTTTGGTCTGCAGATTCTAGCTTACTTCTACGCCCTTTCTATTGTGCTGGGCCGGCTGTACTGTGGTATGCACGGGTTTTTTGACGTCATTTGGGGAAGCATTCTCGGCGCACTGATAGCTCTTGTTCAGTGCTTCTACGGCGAGGCGTTTGACGACTGGCTCCATGACGGCGACCTGAAACGAGTCGTGCTTGTTGTATTAGTCATCTTGGTCCTGGTTCGCATTCACCCTGAACCGGCAGATGACTGCCCTTGTTTCGACGACAGCGTTTCTTTCGCTGGAGTCTTCATTGGCTGCGAATACGGCGTTTGGCACTTTGCCCGCTCCTCTTATGCCTGGCCAATTCCTGCGAGAGGAACTATCCCGTTCGATCTTGAAAAATTGGGCTGGGTGGTGACTTTAGCCCGCATTGTCCTCGGAGTCCTCGTGATCTTTGCATGGAGGGGCATCATGAAGCCGACCCTGCTTAAGATACTTCCGCCGATATTCCGTGTCATCGAACAATTTGGACTCACCTTACCACGACGATTCTTCAAACCGGCCTCGGAGTACGAAACCATTCCACGGCAACCCGACGACGACAATGTCATCCCGCCGGCGCGGGACATCCCGCACCTGTTGTCATCGTTCCGACGCCGAAGGGCCATCTCGATTGGGCCCCAATCCGAGGCAGACGCGTACGAAACATTGGCCTACCGTGACAAGAAAAGGAGGGACAGCAAAAATGCGCATGATGCCTTGACTCCAGCAATGGACGGCTCGCCCTCGCCCTCGCCCTCACCGGATCACAGTTACTTTCAGAGCAAAGACGCAGTTTCGGGCAGAAAGAGATCTAGCAGCCTCGAGATGTTCCGGGCACAGATGGGTACAGGAATGGAAACATTGTCACCGGTTCCTGCGGCCTCGCCCGCGGACGGAAAATCGCGCACTCCAGAGGAAGCTCAAGCAATGGATGAGTTACAGGAACAGCAGATATTCTTGAGCATTCAGAAACCTCGAGTCAGATACGATGTGGAAGTGGTGACCAAGCTCATTGTGTATTCGGGGATTGCTTGGTTGGCAGTTGAGGGCGTCCCGGTTCTTTTCAAACACCTCGGATTGAGTGTAAGCTGAGGAGGTGTGGGAACATTAGATCAGGTATATGGAATAGTGGCAGCTCGATCACTGATTTGGAGTTTGAATGGCATGTACGGAATCATGCGTCGGAGCGGTTCCGAGATTACCCCTCGTGCGATGATACGAGTGGCAACACCTACCTAGGTATTTGTTTATATTCCACCGAGCCGCTATCGTCCCCGTCTGGGAGTCCACAGTAATAGACATGGTGTTGTCTTGGTGCTTGTATATGCTCAGCTTGGCAAGGCGGTGTCGGATATGTTTTCCATTGGTCTTTCGGTAGCTTGGTGGGGTCCCGGCAGAAAATTAAACGGGACCAATCATCGCAATGCCGCATTTGGACATGTTGGAGAGTCGCGTCTCTCTGCGACGATTGAATTCGTCCTGCGGTTTTGATCAATAACCCAAGTGATTCCTCTGTACAATCAAAACAACACACTGATCTCCCCACTCAACTCACTTTCTGTTCCCGCTATTGACTCTACAATCTCCTGCGACTCAGACTCACCCCTCTTCGCACTCCTATGCCGTCAGTCGAGCCTCTCACGCTCTTGCTCTTCGTACCTCTCTTGGTCGGCTTCATCTCCATCTTGAACCTCATCCATCACGACGGTCCTTTGACTGTCTGCATCCTGCACCGTTGTGCTCTCACCCTCCAGTCTCATTCTCAGCCTCGGCAGCCATGGCTGACACCTCATCTTTCATGGACTGGCATCCTCAGACGCCTCCTCCAGCGCACAACCCGTACCAAGATGAAAGATACATGCCCGGCGGTTGGCCTGTCGATCCCCCTACACCACCCCCTCCTACCACTGGCGTCTTCATGCCTCCTCGCAGACCTTCTCCTCTGGACCACGTTATCCCTGTCGCAAAGAGAATATGCGCAGGCCTCGGCGAGTTGGCTGGACTAGGCTTTCATGCAGCTGCACAACTCGGAAGATGTACTATTGGTGCCACGACAAAGGTTGTCACTGTGCCCACTGTCTATGTTGTCCGACGATTCCAGCAGCGCCGTCGTGAACAGAGATCTCGGCCACAAAGACGACAAGGTGCTCCAAGACCCCTGCCTCCACCACTCTCAGAATCGCCCTGGAATCGAGCCGTTGCAAGAGAGCTCTCCACGGCTCAACATACACCATCTCCTCGTCCACAAACACCCCCAGTTCCGGGCAAGCTACAGCTCGAAGCCACTTCGCCTGCAAAGGAACAGCTCCCTTCCACAGAGAACGCCCTGTACGAAGTCCCAGAGTTCAGGCCCGCTCACGTCTTGAACCGACGCAGAAAAAATGCTACCCCACGAGCCCAAAACCGGCGCACACGCATCGATCGAGTGTTTCCGGGAATGCCTCGATTTACACCTCCTCAAGAACCCAAACCACTTTATCTTCCAACACCTGACGAAAAGCTCGAGGTGCCATTACTAGAATGCGCCAAACTAGAATCTCCCTACCCGCAGTTGAAACCATTTCCTGCCACACCTCCCTCGCCTGCGACAACCATCACATCCATCGATTCTCCCACACCCAGTGCACAGTTACAACAAGGCCTCCACGCAGTCACCGAAAGCGACACAGAGTCGAACAGTGTTATCTCATCAATCCTGCAATCTAGAAAGAGACGGATTCATACACAAGGCTCCCCAACAACCGAGAGCGACGAAACTCCTACATCCACAACGAGAGTCCAGACCAAAAGTCCGAGCGTGGAATCGCCACAGACTCCGACACCCGTCATTGTCGTGCAAGATGCACCCTTGTCAGTCAATCCCAACGCCCCAACTCCTACAGACACGACTTTGTTGTCACCTCCACGTCTGAAACTACGACGATTCAATACTCCACAATCACTCCAAAAGAAACTGTTCGCCCTCAAGAGCCCGCAGACACCGCAGTCAGAAATCTCGTCCAGATGCGACTGCTCTCCAGGAAATGATCACATCGACGCCCCCAGATCTCCCGTTAAGAGCGAGATTTCTTCTTTCTTCGATGGAACACCACCTCCAAACCCTGAACAGGACGCTCCTGTGTTCGGAATGATCATGTCTGGATGCGGATCCCCAATACCCGCATCCAGTGCCCTCGCTAAGAGCGACAGTCTCGGAGAAACATCAGTGTCCAACACCAACGCGGCACCAGAACAACCTTCTAGTGCACCTACTAACGGCAATGAAGCAGCCGCGCCAGAGAGCCGAAGCGAAGCGAACAAGCGCCTTAACTCTACCACAGTAGAAGCGACAAGCGAGATGACGGAAAATGTTCTCGGCCTGGCCAACCAAGGACATATTCCAGAACCAAGCAATGTCACAAAGGAAGAGGAGCCAGGCATCGCAATGCAGGATCCCGAAACTTCCAAGAAAGAATCGCCCGAAACACCCGAGCGAGTCAAACCACGAAAACCAAATGTCACAATTCCCATTGACCTGACCGATGACAAGGATACCAGCGAATCCAGCTCATCGGCTACATCCTCCCTTCAGACCCCAGAAAAGCAACTCGCAGAACTCAGGCTAGATGATGTATATACACCCGAGCACCCGACCCCGAAAGCGACACCCCACTCATCCGAAAAGACCCAGAGAGTTACCCGAGCAGAGTCCAAGAGACTCGCCATCCTCGAAGAAAAGACTCACTACGAAATTGCCCCACTCCCAGAAGAATGGGAAGAGAGAATCCAGACTGCCCTTCGTCACGGTCATGGTGCTTTCAAAGCCAGAGATTTTACCCGTGTTGTGCCCCTCAATGACCAGTCCAGCTTCGGCACAGACCAATGGCTCAATGACGAAGTGATTAATGGGTACCTCAACCTGGTCGTCGCCCATGGCAGACAGAACGATCGTCCCACCCAAGTTCCCACACACCACGCCTTCGTGTCCTTTTTCTTCAACAACCTCGAAACCCGCGGATATGATAGTGTCAAACGATGGGCTTCTCGAGCAAAGATCGGCGGCAAAAACCTCCTTGAGACAGAAGCAGTGTTTATTCCCGTCAACAGCGGCAGTCATTGGACCCTTTGTGTGGTGTCAGGCAAGAACCGCACCATCGCACACTACAACAGCATGAGAGGGAGTGGGAAACGGTACATTAACATTGTGAAGACATGGGTTTCTGCAGAATTGGGATCTGCTTACAAGGAATCCGAGTGGACCTTTATTGAGACAGGGGAGAGCCCACAACAAAGCAACATGAACGATTGTGGGGTGTTTACCGTCACCTCTGCGAGGCAGATCATGTTGGGGCTTACGCCCATGTCGTACAGTCCCGACATGATCCCTTTGCAGAGGAGGAGGATCGTGGCGGAGCTTGTCAACGGGGCGCTCTTAAAGAGCAGTTTGTAAATCGTTCCTTTTTTTTTTCTGCTTTGTATTTCTTTTTGGGGTAACGAGTCAACGACATTCATGAGCTGATGACAACGATACCCCCTGGGTGCCCCTCCCGACGAGGATCGGGCTTATTTGTGCTTGGGTTTGGTTTGGCGTTGGCGGGCTTTTGGGAGTCATTGAGCTCTCCCCCTGTAGGGTAAGGGAGAAGAACGGGGGGATACAGAACTCCGATGATAATGATACTGTACATTAAACTAGTCTGAGCCTCAGACCTTCGTGCCTTATCTTGTCTCTCTCGCGCCGTCGATGAAGACGGCGGCCGTCCTATGCGTAATGTAATGATAGTGAAGTCCTGCCGAGCTGACGAGCGACAGCGTCGTCTCTACTTTCAACATAACACACCCACGTTGACGGCGACGGGGACGGCTTTTGCATCTGCATGGGGAACGGTGTGGGCGGTGGACTCCCCCCTTTCCATGTGTGTGAATGTGTTGTTGCCGGGGGGGTGTTTGAGATCGCGTTTGACATCCTTAGTGTGGGAGCCCGATATCCGGCGACGGAATATACGAGTCGTCGCAAGTCTTGACATCGACATCGAGCGAGGCCCAACGGTATGCAGGGGAGATGACGGCGACAGAATAAGCAATGACACGGCATGGCACGGCATGCACTGTATAGTTTGATGAGGGCAGGACATGACATGACGAGAGGTCGGTAGGTAGGAAAAGGGACAGAGACGCTCACTTCCTATTAGCCCAGCGTCTGGACGACGACTGGTATGTACATGCTAATCGCCTCCTTTTTCTCCTGTCCAGAACCAGAGCCAGGGTTCAGCGTGCCATCACCTCTAATGACATACGAGGCTGGTCAGGTCTCGGTCAAACTTCTCAGTCAAACTTCTGAACCGACCGTGCCAGGCCTCCCCGGGGGCCTGAACCACTCCAGAGTCCCAACGTAGCTGGCGCTCCGAAGATAGGGCAGACAGCCCATCCACAGATCCTCGAGGACGCCCCCGCCGACCTGCTGCGTCAATCGCGCCCACGCGTCCATGTCGACGCGGGCCATCCACGCCAGGAACGCCATGAGGATGAAGTCCGCGTAGGTTGGACAGGTGCCGCCAGAGAGGTAGCGCACACGTCCACCACCGAAAAAGTGGTGGTCGTGGTTCTGACTCCCCACATCCTCCCAGTCCAGTGCGTCTTTCAGCTCGGGACCCCTCACGAGTGGACAGTCGTGTAATGTTCGCAAGATGGGTTGGAGTTGCGTTTCAATGTCTGCCCACAGACGGTCCGTCTCTTCTTGGGTCTTGGGGCGGAGCGCGTCGAGGGAAGAGACGTTGAACCATTCCCTGCGTGTGCGGATAAAGTACTCTCTTCCTCTGTCGTCGAGGATGTCGGGCACGGAAGGGATGATTAGTCTGCGCGTGGCGGGCAGTAGACGGGTGATGATGGATTGGACCTGATGCGTTTGTTCCAGGGATTGCCGATCGGGGAATAAGGGAGGATATCTTTCGGGGTCTCGGAAGAGGACCTCCAGGGCCATGGCGATGCCTAGCGTCGAGACTACGGGGGTGAATATGCCGTAGCTCGTCTGAACTGTTGCGTGGACCCCGGCGACCCTTGCGTCATGTAACTGATTCAAGGCATCGTGACGAAAGTCTTCAGCGTAGAGAAGAAGGATGGGTAATGTACAACTTGGTGACGCCGAGACATCTTTTAACGGCGGAATCTTCAGTTCCTGCCAGAGCGGTTCGATGTCCGGGTACGAAATCCAGGACTCCGTGTACGGAAGTCCTTTATAATGCAACGCCAGCCGCGAACGGATCGTGTTGGGAGAGAAGGAGTACTGGTTGCGCAGGAAGGAATTGGATGAGTGGACTCTGTGGATAGAGAAGGGCGATTGGTTGCTCGCAATGTCGAAGAGGAGAAGACGTTTTCGAGAGGCTGTGGGGTCCTGACCTGACCATGTATACCGGGCCTTTGAAACGGCCTGCCTCGGATCCAACCTCTTGGAGAGGGAGGAGACGGGTCGCAACATGCGTGGGTTTTTTGAAGCTCCCCTCCCTTCCCGAGGACGGCTAAGAGAGCCTTGGGGGATCAAGCGGCAGATGCGGCGTCCAGGTCTAGTGAAGAAGATCGACATGAACAGTGTCCTTGTCGACAAGAACAGAATTTTCCGTCCGTCATGTGCTGTGTATCTGTCTGCTGCGTGTCTGGGGACTTGATGTTTATTCTTTTCCGCCGAGGACAGTCACGAGTTATACTCGGAAATTCAGCCGTCTCGCGGAAGCAGGAGGTAAATGAGCCCGTATGACGGTCTTGAATGCGCAGTCCATGGAACACTGCACTGCCTCTAACCGCTGCTTAGAGTATATTGAATCCCTGACGGAACTCCCAATGAATCAGAGTCCGGGTGAAATGGGAAAAACGAATGACTATCAACTGGACCCGAGTTTTCAGAGCTGGTTTCCAAAAGGGTGACTGATCGGTGTCTTTGCAAATCAGCGCTATCCAAGGGAGCCAGGGGCTTGACGAGTAGCGAACAAATGAAGAGAGAACGTCTGGCCGAGGAGCGAGGAATGAATGGACAATTCTCAGAGCTTTGACTGAACTCGAGTGAGATGGATGGTATGAGGTGAGGTGAGGTGAGGTGAAACGGAGATTATTGGCAAGAAAATTGGTCGGTCTGACCGTCAACTATACACTTATATCGGGCTAGTTCGCTTAATATGTTGTCGTCAGACGGGGAATTTAGTCGAAGAATACAAGGAGACTGGAAGAGCTCCACTCGGTGTAATTGTCTCGTTCATCCAACGATATAAGAGATTCATCATCTATCCAACTGAATTGATGAGTGAGAGTCCAAAATGGTCGGGCAGAACGGCAGAACACAGTATTCCATATGGCCAATCGTCAACCGCCAAGCTGCTCCCTCAAGGCTCACGCAGCTTCCTTCATCCACCTTCGACCAGCCATTTCTTGAGGAATTCGGTCTGAGTCCCAGCATTTCTTTCGAAATACGGCCCAGAGTACGCCTCGAAATGACCGCAAGGCAAAAGTTGCAGTTGCTTCGGCTCCTTTGCGCGTGCGTAAGCCCCGAGAGCAAGGTCTGATGGGGTGAGCACGTCTCCGCTCGCAACTGTCATAAGGAGCGGCGTCGGCGAGATCTTCTCAATGAGTTGCTGCGGCTCATAGGCGCGGAAGAGCTCGACGCTAGAGCGCAGAGCAAGAATCAGAATTCGGCAAGCAAGAGCAGGTGGCATTCATTTCACTCACGTCTTGACCGTGCAAGTGTTCTTCCACTGACACTTCTTCTCCCAGGCGGTGAAGAATTCGAAGCTGTCTGGCGTGGGCAACGCGGACGGCTTCAAAGGATCGGCATCCACCACAGGAACGAATCCAGGCTCCTTCCCTTCTGCTCGAGCGATCCTATCTGCAAGATCGTCAGAATGGACATCGACCGGCGTCTCTTGCCGAAAGGGCTATCAGACCTGCAGCAAAGGTCGCATTGAATCCGACCGCGAAATCTGGACGCACGAGGCGATTGAAGTTGTCCCATCCGCTGACGCAAGGGACCTGACTGAGGACGGCTTTGACTCTTCGATCAACAGCCCCAACGTATAGCACGTGGCCGCCACTGTATGACGAACCCCAGATTCCAATCTTGTCCGGGTTGACTTCAGGCCTCGTCGAAGCGTAGGTGATGGCATCCGAGATGTCGCTGCATTGAGTCATTGGGATGATCTCACTCCTCGGTTCCCCCTCTGCTGTATCGCTGTCACCAAAGCCGCGATTGTCGTAGACCAGGCAGGTGATGGGCAAGTTGGACACGAAGTATTCGGCAAAGGCATCAAGGTCCATTTCCTTGAGGGCCGTGAAGCCGTGGGACATGACAAGGCATGGTGCTTTCCCGGAAGCTGAGTCGCTGGTGTAGAACCATCCTCTCAAGGTGACCCGATCCGAAGTCTTGAATTCGACGTTTTCTCTGCCCATTTCGAGAATAGGTGCTAAGCAGTCAGGATCCTATAACCACATGTCAAAAAGGTAGTGTTGCACAAAATCACTCGAAGCACGGAGGGAGGTGGACGACAAATCTATCTTTATGCCGGATCCCTGGGAGGAGAAGATGTGCCGAGTAGGCGAAGAACTAGAGATCCTTGGAACTCCCAAACTCGGGCTCCATTGCCGCCATCCTCCTGCAGAAGGTGACCATCACGGTCAGAAGGAAAAGAGGGCAGACGTTTCCAATCGCCTAAACAACATCTGCACACGGATTCACAGCTCGCATTGGTGACATCTCGTTTAACCCCGCATGAGCGGTTACGAGGATGGATGTTTTGAGTTGGCAACATTGGGATCCATATGGAAAAGGAGGTATCCTCCACCTAACACTCTAGTCCGATGTGCTGGCCGGCAGGTCGCGGGACCGCTTTGGGGGACGAAGGAAGATGAAGAGATTGTCTGGAGGGATGTGCTCGACCGCGATAGGAGGAAGGAAGCTGGGGGGATGGTGCTCCAGGCACAAGGCAACGGAGTGTGCGATCGGTACCGCTCGCGCTCAGCAGATGGTGAGTGTATTTCTGTGTTTCTCAACCGCAGTTGGCAAATCAGGTATGAGGAGGACAGCCATTCCTTCAGGCAGAGAGACCGAGGCTAAGTGAAACCAGGACGTTTTGGAAAGGCTGCATAAGTGGAAGAATAGTGCAATCGGCAAGGCAGCTGGGATGGCTGGGATGGCTTGGATGGCATGTCTAGTTAGACTGACCTACATGGCGCCAATGCGTGCGTTTCGTCGTGAGCTGGTCAACCCATGTTCATGCGGTGGTGGACGACCAACTGCGCCCGGCTTCTCCTTCAGCTCCAGCAGATTGCGAGCGTAGGACGAAGAGGGAAAGACATTCCGCACGCCGGACGAGGACTGGAGATGTTGATGATGCGCTCCAGACGATGAGCTATCAGGCCGGGTCAGCAAAAGTCTTTGGTAATGAGTGGGAAGGGACTGAGACCGCAAGCGGAAGCGCGTGCATAGGCATGGTGGTAGAGGTGGAGATAGGCAGCACGAGTCAGTTTGCAGCTTCCAAAGCCAGTTAAGTCGATAATATCTCGTACGTATCAGGGGGAACACCCCTCCCCCCCTCCCTTACCTAGGCACATCCTCCGCACAGCGTGCCCTCCCCTATGGAGGCCCTTTAGTTGATGACGGTTACGTAGCGACTCGGCTACTTATCACCCTGCTTACCGCCGCAGCCTCGGGGCTCGTGAGGCTCACTACCCAGTAGGCTTACCAGCACACCTCCCGTTGGCAGCTCAACACAGCCTTGTCAATTACAGGGCACTCGCCATAGACACCCGGTTTGCGACTTGGTATTCGACCATGTCGGCATCTAATTGATTGCTCACTGCGTCTGCCAGTCAAGCTGTGTCTCGGACCACTGCGCGTTTGCATCCTCACACTGTCACAAAGAGGCCCTGGGCGACGTGGCCCGACATTGGTCATGGGCAATCACCCTCCCTTTCGACCTTTTCCAACTCCTCTGTCTTATGGACTAACGAAATCCTTTCCCACTTTTCACTGTTATGGTCATCGATTGCAGGCTTCACCCCAATGTCCATGGCATCAAACTTGTTCCGTCGACCGGCCGTTCTGCTGTTATGTTTCCGATCTTCTCTTGTGACAGTCTCTAATGTCCTACCGATATCCTTGAATATGAGCGACCTTGCCATTCTCCTAACAAACTCATATCCAAGCCTCTTTGTCCTCCGAGCTTCTTCTTTCCCTTCAAAGATAGTCAATCCACTCCTCTTCGATAGTTGCAGCAAAGAATCGCGCATACTGCCTAGGGAAGTGCCTTTTGACGAGGTCAATAATCTCACCTGGTGTTGCATCGGCGTCTGTAAAAACCCACTCGATGAATTCGCGTTGGAGCTGGTGCTCGGCATATGGACACCAGCCTGCCTTGCGTGCAATCCTACGGAAGGTCGCTTGGTTCGCCTCCGCCTTGAGCCACTCCGAGACGAGGATGCGGAAGATGTACGCAGATCTCAGGGTGGCTTTTCAGATATCCGATTGTCTCATGAAACAGTCGCTCGTCGCCCTTTGGGGCCTTGTGGATCTCGCGAGAGCAGTCAGGAGGCAGTAGAGCATCCTGCAGTGTATACCAGCTCAGATTGTCAAACCGCCAGTTATCCGCGCACCAATTTTGGTTGTCCAGCACTTGTGGCCGGAGATCAATGGTATTGCCATCCTCATCTTGCCCTTCGTGGCAAAGGAGCATGTTGTCAATCCCCACGCCCTCTTGCAACATCGTGCCAATAATTGCCTCCCAAACATTAGGATGGTTCTTTCGGGTCTCTGAGAAGCGCTTGCGTTCTTCTTTGTTGCGTTTCTGACCCAATCGGCAGCTTGCCAGAGTGTCGAACTCTCCTTTTGGGTTTCGTGGATCAGGGCAATGACATTGTGGCTGTATCTGAAGCTGGAGAGGCCAGGCAGCAACTGCTCGAGGCTTCGAACCAGGTACTCCTCATGGACTTTTTCCTTTTCGCTGCCGGTGAGCACGATGGTCTCCCACCATTGGGAAGGAGCGGTTTCTCTTGCTGAGTCGAGAAGTCCATTGCCTCTTCTAAGAAGCGGTGGTATCTTTCGGGGACGTATTTCAGCGACACCACCTTCTTCTTGAGTCGCGGCTCCGCCGATTTCGGCTTTGTGGAGGCCGCTGGCTCCGCGTTGTATAGGGGCGAGACTTTGTTCGCGCTGTCGGCCTTCTGAGGCAACTTACTGCTGGTAAAAGAGGCCGGGTCGACACTTCTACGCAATGGTTCAGGCTCTGGCTCTGGTTCGTCTTCCTGCGAGACCACGTCGTTCCCAGATTGGGTGGGGTCAACGGCGCTTTTCTCATCCCGCACCGTTGCCGGTGGAGCAGGCGCAGAGTCTCCTGCCTCCGCAGCGATATTTGGTGGCAGTGTCCCATTCGCGATGTTGTAGTCCAGGTTCTCAAAATAGTCAACCACCTCATCCTTTGTCACTGGCTCTGGTATGGCCGCTGATGGTGTCGTGGATGACTGAGGAATAACCTGACTGCAAGCCGTGGTCGAAACGTCGTCGTCAAGATTGTTCTCTTGCTGGAGGATGTTGGCTCTAGCCTGGGGAGGGATAAAGGGAAAGAAGAGCTCTGGTGGTGGGCATCCACCTTGCCTAGTTTCTCGTTAGCATCGAAGAACACGTCGGCAAAGATACTCACCAATAGACTAGACGCGGCAATTGCAACGCGTCGGTCAGCTCTATGTCTCCCAGCTCCTCATCGTCAGTCATGATGATGTCATTGTCATCAATGTCGTCGAGGGCTAGTTGAGGCTGATCACCGCCTGCGTGGAAAGGACGTTGAGCTTCGGCCTTCTGTATGGCACCGAAGTCCTTCTCTAGAGCCAACCTAGGCTCGGCCAAGTCGCTCAGGAACTTCGAGTGGTTGTTGTCCAGGGGCACGAGATGGTCGAGACGAAGAAAAGAGCCCACTGTTGGGGGATTGTTTACTTGGCCTGATGCGTGTAAAGTGGCAGTGACTGCGATTGAAATCCTTGATCTGCCCGCGCTGACTAAGTTTCACTCCCCTAAATGGAATCGCAGTCAAAGACTGGATGGGATGGACAAGCGTTCTTGCGATCTTCATGTTTGCGGCATTGTAGTTCGGTGTCTGACCAGGAGAGCGACAGAGGAGAGAACAAGTGGCTGAAAGAGCAGAGGGAAAAGCAGAGGACAGCAGCAGTCGTCGCTGGCGCTGTGAATAAACTCTCGACGAGGGAATGGCTGCTTCATGTCTTTCGAACCGTTTTCAAGCAAGAGCTTAAGAACCTGGAGGATGGGGAGACGGGGAAAGGCCTGTCGAGGGGCTGGAGTGAAAATGTGCGAGAACTGTATTCACTCTGCATGCTTGATCTGTCACTGACCACTTCACTTGTACCGGCAGAAAAAAATTCATATCGTCGCCGAGCAGTGAATGCTGGATTGGACCTGAGAGACAATGGATGCCAAAACAGACATTCAGGCGCAAGGCTGACCTACCGATGCCCATTGATCTTATTGGGAACTTCTTCCTTCAAGCAGCATTGGTCCTCTTTAGAGATGAATTTTCCGACATTTGACGGTCTCAATAAGCTTTATTGAAAAACTTTGCCGTTCATCAGCGGCCTATTATTGTCACTTGAAGCCCCTGTTTCTGGCAAACAGCGTGCCTCAGACAATGATGCCTTGCCAGGAGGCAGACCGGACCCAAGCCCATATTGACCGGCAGCTGCGGCATGACTTGAGTCACTAGAGGGCACTAGAGGGCTCCCTCAAGATCATATCGAAGATTGTAGCCTCTGGTGCCATCGCTTTCAATGTCGAAGGATATGAGCACAATATCGGCAAATATCCAACGCCCTGAATGCACAGACAAAAGTTGCCCATTGCATACAACGGGCTTCGTGCGCCATGCGAGGAAAATACTGGCGGTGTGTCTGATCTCGAATATACCTGCACACTAACATTAACGGAATCCGCGACTGATTGCAGGGCGGAGTCGTGTAGTCGAATGCGTGATAGCAGCAGAATGCAGAAGCCTCCATGGCCAGAAAACAAATCAAGACGGAGAAGGGCGCTGTCTCCACCCTGGTTCTCTGCCGACGGCCAAAGCTCGTATTCACATGAAAATATATATATGTGTGTATAGACCTTTCATTGTGCCAATGTTGGCACATTGAAGTCTGGCTGAAAGGTAAAAGAGCCGAGAACAGGATGTATCAACAGACATACGACGTGGTGATAGTCGGTGCTGGTCTTTCTGGCCTGCAAGCTGCTCTCACTGTCCACCATGAGCGCCTCAATTACTTGGTTCTCGAGGCACGAGATCGCGTGGGCGGGAAGACATTGACTCTACGCTCCAGCGAAGGGGTCGTGAAGTCCGACCTGGGAGCTGCCTGGATCAATGACAGCAACCAAAGTCGTATGTGGGAACTTGCGAAAGACCTAGGGTTGCACACCTATGTTCAAAACACCCAGGGCGATGTCGTTGTGCAAGATCTTGACGGAAAGCTGGTAAAGTTTCCGTACGGGTGAGCGCCCCTTCTCCCGATGAATTGGTTTTGTTTCTAGCGAAGACATTGGCACAAAGCTGATTGAAGTTCCCAGGGACGTACCAAAGGTCTAATACCCCATACCGCCGTGTTCCAGCGGTGGTCGTGAATGGTTGATGCTGAATGTCTGGACAGTACCCGTCGCAAGATGACACAGATTCATGCATATCAATCCGAGATTTGGTTGAAAATATCTCAACTACGCAGATGCCGTCAATCTTCGCAGCAGGACCTCATCGAGAGCAGCTTGATTCGATTTCTTTCGAGACGTTTCTGCGTCAGGCAAAGGTCACAGAAAAGGCGTTTGCGACCGCACAGGTCTGGACTCACGCTATGCTGGGCGTTGACCCTGCGGAGGTTTCTGCTTTGTACTTCCTCGAATGTGAGTTTGGTGATGCTGTAAATCAACCCGAGGCTAACAGAGGATGTTGAAGATTGTGCCGCTGGCGGAGGGCTGATGACCATGCGCTCAGACTGCAAGGATGGAGGCCAATATCTTCGCATTCGAGAAGGCACTGCGGCGTTTGCCGAAGGTATGGCACAAAGACTGAAGCCGGGGTCGATCAAGCTGGACAGCCCGGTTGGAAGTATAGAGCAGCAGGACGGAACCGTCTCGATCTTGACAAGAGGGCGCTCGCCACAAGTGTATCGTGCTCGCAAGGTGATCCTTTCGATTCCAACACCAGTATACAGGACTATTAAATTCTCACCCTCTCTGCCTGCCGCGAAAAGTGGAGTTGCCAACCACACCCGCTATGGATTCTACACCAAGTATATTGTGAGGTTCAGCAAGACTTTCTGGACGGATAGGGGCTTGTGTGGTCTTGGGCAATCATTCGTCGGTCCAGTGTCGGTCTTCCGGGACACAAGTCTGGGCGATGATGCTTGCATGACGTGCTTTATCGGCGGAAGATTCGGGAGGAAATGGGCAGCGCAAGATGTTGAGAGGAAGAAGGCATCAGTACTGAAGCAGATAGGCGATATGTTCGCAGACGGGCGAGATATTAGTCCTCTCTTTATGGAAGCTTATGAGTCGCCATGGATGGATGAAGAATTCTCAGGCTGGGGCTGCCCATGCCCAGCCATGCCACCAGGAGTTCTCGCTGACGGCTGGAAAGCGTTGTGCGCGCCATTCGGGAATATCCATTTCGTAGGGACAGAGTTGAGCACTGTCTGGAGAGGATATATGGAAGGGGCGATCAGGAGCGGAGAGAGTGGCGCGATGAAGGCAATTGCTGAGCTGAAGGCTGGGGACCAGCAGATCGCAAAGCTGTAGATCCCATGGACGAACAAAGTGGTCTTGATCCTAATTCTAGTTGTGTGCTGTATCCCAAAGAAGGCCGCCGAAGATGAGGCAAAAAGGCCATTCATTGCAACGGATGAACTGCCTAAGGCGGCGCTCTTCTTGTTTCTGCAAACCCGAATATATCTCATCAGGGTCATGCCATACCTGCTGTCTGGTGGTGCTGAATACCCTGTTCCTCTTGCGTCGCTGATTCCGCTGCTTTATCGGCATGATGTCCTCTCGTTGTGGCCACTGCACCCTCTCATCCAGCAAGCGTCACGTGTTTGAAGACATGGATTTTTCACTCGGGCATTTGCTCCTCTCACATGTGCAAGGGCCAAGAGGACGAGAAGTCATATTCTCCACGGTATACTTCAATGGAATGAAGTGGCCAGGACGATGTACGTCCATGCTGTAGCGATCTAAAAGATGTTGAACTTGCATAGGTTCGAGGTCGTCCAGTGGAAAGTGCGATATCAAGACAAGATCCGCGGGTCTCCGAGTCGTGGAGGTAGAGTGGAATGCAACGTCGTCATCAGTGTTGTTGCAGCGGACGTCTTTCCTCTACAAAGTGGAGGTGAACCACCCTTCCGGTTTATTGCTGGGAGCACATTGTAATCAAGATCCGCTAGAGAATATCCTCTTGAATCAGGGGACACTAGGATATACCTCTCTCCCCACAAAATCCACTGCGTGCTGTCCTTTTGGACTCAAAATTTAACGACAGCCTCAAACCTTTGACTTCTGAGAATCCATGAACACAAAGCCTGCCAGCGAAGCAGTCCAGCTGATTAGATCGGAACAACTTCTGATCCGCAATGTATCCTCTTCGATGGGGAAGTAGAGCTCTGTGCTATGTCCTGGTGGCGAAGGCGTCAATAACAGGAAGCTTTGATCGAAGTGGTCCCAAGGGAATACGATGTGTATCTAGGTCAGATGGGATATCAATGGCTCTCGGGCGGAGAGCCTGGCTCGACTCGCATGACGTCGATGTGTTTGTTTATGGCTCAAGAACTTTTTGCGCGCTCCAGTATTTTGACTAGTAGGCCTGAAGCACGGCCTAGCTCTCCGCCTTCCTTCCTCGCAGCATCAATGCCTGCCAAGATAGGTGCCTGAAAATTTCGTGCAAAGTCCTGCAATCTATCCTGTTGGTCGTCGAGTATTTGGTTTTCATCCTCTGGCTGCGGACCGAAGAGATTTAGATAGGCGTATGCATTAGATTTGCCGGGTACCAGGAGTGTTTCAACTTCCCATAGGGGAAATCCTGCAAGCATTGCGCTGGTTCTGGAAGGAGATCGCTCATCCGTGACTAGACCTGCATGCAAGAATTCAGCGAGAACTTGGATTATTCGAGCAGTGGATTTGGGATCTCCTGCAAACGATGCTTTACTGGCGGACCATCTGCTGGCGTCGTTTAACCTCCACCCTAGGACCGTTGTAAAGCACTCGAGTGTCTGGTGCCAACCGCCTGGGCACGATATCAATTCGGGCCCGGCAGCTTTGATCATGAAGGATACAAAGTCAAGCGATGAGAGTCGAATATCCCGTGATAAATGTGTCATAGCCGCACGTAAGTAGGGCAAAGCTTTGTTCACATGGTCTCGGACGTCCTCGCAGGGCAGCGCCCGGAAGAGCTTAAGCAACTGGTTTCTAACGCCTGCCGAGCCGTCGAGCATGAGAGGACAGATGCTGCTGAGAAGGGAGCTGGTGGGAACTGGTAAACCGCTTGCCGGTAGGCTTGAAGCGACGTAAGTGGTCAGGGAGGCAAGGGCATCTCTTCTTTGAGAGTCGGATCGTGAATTGAGAAGAGAGATTTGGTGAAGAAATACTGCTGATTGTGAAGGCGCTTTGATATCCAGCTGTTGGTTCAGAACAATAGCTTTCGACCTTGTGAGCGCAATCCAGAATATAAGTGAGAAACCCGGTACCTTGAGATCTGAAACTCGTATTTGTATGGTTCTCAGCCTTGGGTTTCGCCTTGCCCACTTTCAATTTTTGTTTCTGGGGCCAGTTCATTAGCTTGTTTGCAATCAGCCTAGACGGAAGCGAGAAACGAACTTGAAAGTCTTTCGTCTTCTCTCTTTTCTTTCGTGCACTGGAGCCCATTTTCTGGGTTGGATCTCTTCGAGCAGAAGGTTCATTTGTGATGTTATATTCGGGAAAGGTTTTTCTTCCTCAGAAGCGGCGAGGGCAAAAGGGCCACAGGAAGAATAAGCTTTGAGCTTCGGCGGACCGAACCGTCGATGGTGACGATCCCCAAGTCAGTCGATC